ATATTTTTATTATTCCGACAAATTGCTTGTAGACATCCTAGTACTGATATATTCTTCTCATTTGCCATGTACTTAAAAAATACAACAATTTCATCATTGTCCATCTAAGTCTGAAAGACAAAAAGTACATAGGAAATTGCAACAGCAACATTAACAAGAATAGTCATGAACGTATAACAAATAAAAATAATGAACATTCTTTCTGCAGACTTGTAAGCAAAAAACCTTTGTTTCAAGCACATTTTTAACTTGTTTATTAAATTTTTAACTTATCTAGGAACCACATCGTTCTCTATATTCTTATAAACTCCTACTTTGCACATCTTCTTTCTAGTACTTTCATGATTGTAGTGTTTAGGAATAATTCTTGAGAACCTTCCAGCACATTCATGATTGTTAAGAAAATCTTTGAACTGATGTCAGTTATTCCAAAAGCAACACAAAAAGTTTTCATTTTCTTTAAAAGTGTGTTGACTTTATTTTGTGTCTTACAGTTTTATCTTAATCCAGAACAATTAATTCTAGGGTCTCAAAAATATGATTTTAATTTGCATGCAGAACTTAAATTAAAATTTTTTCAGCTAATCACTTTCTCCGACTCAGACAGTAGCACAGCAATCATAAAGATAATGAAGAAACCTAAAAAAATCAAATGGAGTCTCAAACCTGTTAAAAGCATTTATGTGAAATAAATTTAAAGAATGTACAGCACAAGGAATAAAATCAATGTTTGGGTCCTCATTATTCAGTAGTGCTTGCAGGTTGTTGTATTTTTCAGATATTTTAGATGCATTGTCATAGAACTCACTACAAGCTCTTTAATCTTTTCTTGATAGCATCTGTAATAGTCTTTCCATTATGTCCACAAGAAAACTCAAACCTAATAAACCTTTTTTCCACAACAACCTTTTTTTTGCTGAACCACCTCTAAGAACTAGATCTCGACTGCACAAAAAATTCAAGCTTTCAACAACTCTTATCAGAAAATTCCTCATAGTTTTTTGTGGCTCAGTGGTTTCATTAACCAATTGCTGTATAAAATGAGCATCACTTTTTACTTTTATTTTTACTTTTTTGAAATAGCACTGGATTGCCTCAGTAAGTTGTTTGCTCTTTTCATGCCTCTGCATAAAATGCTGTTAACATGACCAGCCATCGAATCCAGAACTGAAGTTGTCATCTGATTCTTATAAAAGCAGCAGAAGAAACAAAATATTTTCCCATTGGATGGTAAATAAATGTCTATCTTTCGAATTTCACCATTTTTTAACTCAAAAGAAAAATAATTCAGAGAGCAGTACCTTAAATATGCTTTTGTCATATTTTTGTATTTTTCAAAATCTTTGTCTGTAAAATGTATAGAAATCCAGTAGATTAGTATTTCTTTAAAATTCTTTGACAATCCTAGGTCAGATTGACATTTTTTTGAACATTATCAGAAATGTCAGATTGACATTATTTTTTAAACCGAGGGGTCGGGGGCACGCCCCCGGCCTCCCTTGTGTTGTCGGCCCTGATTCATATACAACAAATTTATGACCATTTCCTCCACAAAACAAGAAGTTTTATATTATATATATACTCAAAAGGCCCAACGTCTGTTATTGGAATTTGTAACCTGCAAATTACTTTTACACTCAAGCATTAATAATTGCTACAAACTTCAAACGAAAAATTCTATGTTGGCGTGTGCGAACGAAAAATCTTGGTTTGTGTCGACAAAGGTAGACGCAAATTTTTGTACAAAATTTACTTTTGTTTTGTTTTGTTTTGCAACCTTAGAAACCACGTGGAAAAAGTTAGTTGAAAATTCTCACGCCATTCGCAGCCCAGTCTGGTCAAAAGCAAAACCTGTATGAGGTTTATATAAAAAAAAGATTTAGTAATTATTATTCATTAGAATAAATGGCATTTGTATTAATGAATAAAATATAAAAATATTTTGTGGCTTTTATATTCTAAGCTCAAAAAAACAAATAAATAAATAAAAAAATAAAAAAAAAATAAATAAAATAAAGACAAATGATTTCATTAATTTTTAAGCAATATCAAACAAAATTATATTAAATTGTTATTTCCTTATGTAATAGGGCATTCTTCTAAAAAACTCACATGTTGAACCAATCATTGGTTGAGCCAAGTCTTCAATCATTAATGATTTTAGAATACAACACTTGAGCATCAATAACTGATTAGATTTTAGAAAGATCTTGCAAGAGTGGAGTTGTTTGACAAGAAAGATAATACAAATATTATAAAATATTAGAAAATAAATAGACTATTAGAAAACTAAAGACTTTGTGTAGTAGCAGCAATAATATTAAATAAAATCAACCTAATAAATTAATTAGATTGACCAGTTACCAATTTATAAAAAAATAAAGGACATATTTTACAGATAAGAAATTTAAAGGAAAAAAAAGATAATCTAATTAAAAAATTCATTTTTTTAATTAAGTTAAATATAAATCCAACAACACAGGGTAAGTAGTTTATTATATATGTATATATATATATATATATATATATATATATATATATATATATATATATATATATATATATATATATATATATATATATATATATATATATATATATATATATATATATATATATATATATATATATATATATATATATATATATATATATATACTTATATATATATAATATATATGTATATATATATATATATATATATATATATATATATATATATATATATATATATATATATATATATATATATATAATTATATATATATATATATATATATATATATATATATATATATATATATATATATATATATATATATATATATATATATATATATATATATATAATTAGATAAGTGTTTTTACTAATTTATTATTGCTTTGTTCTCTGTTTGTAGAATACACTAACATAATTTATATATATACAGTGCTCGAAGTAAGGCAGAATGCTATCCTGTCACCTTTTTACAAAGTATAAACCATCTCGCCATCTTTTTATAATTTTTTATAAATAACAATGATTAGGTGGGAGAATGTTTTTAATTTAACTGCATTTTTTTAATTTTTCTTAAACTCATATATATATATATATATATATATATATATATATATATATATATATATATATATATATATATATATATATATATATATATATATATATATATATATATATATATATATATATATATATATATATATATATATATATATATATATATATATATATATATATATATATATATATATATATATATATATATATATATATATATATATATATATAATAAAATTGTTATGCACTAAATTATTGCCTAATAATTTTTATATTATGTAATGAATTATACATTTTATATATTAATTATAATGAATTATTTAAATTTGTCTCAATTTGAGCAAAGTAGAAAAATATATTGTGCAAGTATATGTTTGAAAACCCAAAGAAAATGCCCTAAAATGGGCATTTTCTTTGGGTTTTCAAACATATATTTTATATAATTCTTCACTCTTGTACTCATTTACTACCCCCGAAACCTATATATATATATCTATATCTGTATCTATATCTATATCTATCTCTCTCTCTCTCTCTCTCTCTCTCTCTCTCTCTCAATATATATATATATATATATATATATATATATATATATATATATATATATATATATATATATATATATATATATATATATATATATATATATATATATATATATATATATATATATATATATATATATATATAGATATCCTTCAAAATAATTTGGAACATTCCAGAAATATTCAAATGGATATTTCTGGAACCTTGTGAAACATTTTCAGAATAGGCTGTTTCTTTAACCTTTTTGAATCTTTTGAAACCTATGTATACAAAAATTATTTTTTGAACACATCCACTTAACTTTTAGGAAAACATCTTAAGTAACAACATTTTTCTTTGATTTGTATATTTTTTATTTGTGGTAAATAGGAATTGAGCAAAAAAGAATAACTAACCATTATCAGAGGATAATAACAAAACATATAAAGCCATAAAAAGTAACTAATTTAGAAATTTCAAGAATATAGTTTCCCCTCATATCAAAATTGTAAGATTTATTAACTTTTGATCATTCAAGATTGCTCTTTTGTAGTCAGGATTATTTCAATTTCGACAATAGCTTATGGTTAAAGCATATAATTGTGGTTCTGTCTTTATGGTTATCTGATGTTGTTATGGAATGAGGATAAAATTGTGGGACAGTGGAATTGTGGGAAATAATCTACTCTACAGATCTTATCTTATTTTATCAGAAAATTATCAAATAAAAAAATTTCCAAAATTAAAAAATCACTATAGTAAAAAGGAAAATATATATCATGGATAGCAAAAGCAAGAGCCTCAAAGAAAGAAATATCTCTAAATTTATACTAATATATAATATAACTATATATACTGATACAATATTCAAAAACTATACATACTATTACATTTGCAGATAAAAAATAATATAAAGCAATAATAGAATAAAGCAGCAAGATTGTATATTTCTTAGAAAACTGCTAAATTCTCTATGAACTTAGCAGTTGTTTTTTAAAAAAACAGAAAAAGTAACATATAATTCAAAGTATTTTTTATTACTAATAATTTTTTTTTTTAATTTTATATTGTTTTTATTATTTTACTATATTAGTAAAATACTTATTTCAGAAAAATAAATCATAATCAAACCACACATTTTCTCTTTCTCTGCATTTAAACATCACAAACCTGCGTTTCCTTAGTATAGTTCCTAAAATAAAATTTAGCACAAATAGCCTAATGAGCTCTTATCAACCAGAATACTTTCAGATTTATCTAGGTAGTTTTATTATCTAGCTAGTTTTGTTATCTAGGTAGTTTTATTATCTAATGAGTTGTACTATCTATTTAGTTGTATTATCTATGTAGTTATATTATCTAGGTAGTTTTATTGAACGAATAATGTAATTTAAACAAGCATAATTTTGATTTGAAGGTGGTTGGGCAGCATGGTCAGAGTGGAGTGGTTGGGGAAAAGGATTGTGTGAAGGCAACCAACGTGTTAAGACAAGGGCTTGTTCTAATCCAGTCCCTTCTACCAATTCTGATGATCTTTACTGCATTGGTGACAATTACATCAAAGAAGTTGGTGAAAGTGAGATAATTATTTTTTTTTGTGCTGGTTTAGCATTTTGTTTATTAATCCATTTTGATAGTATTGGTTATTTTTATTTAATAAAATAAATAATTATTTTTATTCAATAAAATATATAATAACTATTTACATTTAATAAAATATATAATAATTTTTTTTGTACAATGAAATATAAAATAATTATTAATTTATAAATTTTGTAAACTTTTGTTCAACATATTTTAGTTGATGGTGGTTTGTCTGAGTGGTCACAGTGGAGTTCTTGTGAAAAACCATGCGGTGGATCAGTGGTTAATCGAACTCGGCAATGTGACAGTCCTTCTCCAAGTAAAGGAGGTTTATTCTGCATTGGAGAAATGTTTCAAACAAAACTTGAATGTGTTGCACCATGTCTAGGTATTTTTCTAAGTACCATAAGTAAATATAATGATATAAAGCACCACAAGTAAGTATAATAATAGATAAATTTGTTTTAAAGGTCAACTTGTTTCAGCTCATTAAAGTGTAAATTGGAAATATAGGCTTGAAAGAGGGTTGGTAACAAGAATTGGTAACAATTTTTTTTTTTAAAAAAAAAGCTTCCTTGACTTGCCCACTCAGCCTTGAGATTATTAAAAAATAAAAGGTGTTGAAATCTCCTACAACATTTTTGAGTAATAAAATTCTAATCAGTTTCATTTTTATTACTTTTTTATTTGAATCAAAACTGAGTCTCATAGTATTAAAAAGAATATAATTTTTGTTTTGTTTTTTGATAAAACATTTTCAAGCTACACTGAGGCCAGCTAAAGCTAACTGAGACCAACTGAGGCTAAATAAAATCAAATTAAGGCTGAATAAAATTTAGGCTAATTAAAGATTTTAATAATGATAGAACAAAATTAAAAAAAGAGAACATAGTTAATTAGCTTTTATTTTGTTTTTTTTTAATTTGTTTTATTTATAATACTTATCTGATACTTTTATTTATGCATTTAATTAAATTTAATACAATACAAATATAAATACGACAATATACCCTCTTATTACTAAATATAAATACGTGCTTTACCTTAACCCTGGTATTTGTTATCATTTAATATTTTTTTATATTTTGGACTATTCTTAATATATCATCTTTATTAAACTTATTTAAACATTTAAGCACCTTATAGTATATTTATATTTATAGCACCTTATAAATATATTAAAAAGTTGCTCTTTTTTTAATATCAGGTAATAAAATTCCTTTTTTTAGAGGGAAGAACAGATGGTGCATGGTCACCTTGGAGTGAATGGACATCTTGCCCTGAATCATGCTCAACATCAGGTGGTTCTCTAGTTCATAGATATCGAACCTGTAATATGCCACCACCCATGTATGGTGGTGCTCTATGTCCTGGAAATGCTTCTGAATCTGTAGTATCATGTTTTGATAGCTGCCCAAGTAGGTCTAATTTAGTTATGAACATTTATTTTTAAGAAATTCAGGTTTCTAATTATTTATATTTATAATTAATCATAATTAAATAATTGATTGACAACATTTATTTAAAATAAATTCAGATTGTTAATAATTTTTTCTTTGCAAAAAAAGATTTTTCTTCAAATTGATATTTATGACTTCAGCAACTATGATCACTATAAATGAAGATATTTATGACTTCAGCAACTATGATCACTATAAATGAAGAACAATGATTTTTAATCTCCTTATATTAATGTAAAATTTTTATGATTTTGTTTATACATTCTTTGTTTACACCTTTTGTGCTCAACATTTCCGTAAACATTTTTTTGAAGAAAAAATGTGTAGACTATTGTACATAATGGTAAAACTTTATTGCAGATAAAGATTAACTTTATTGCAGATAAAGTTTAATCTTTATTGCAGATAAAGTTTAAGGTTTATCTGCAATAAAGTTTATTCTTAATCTGCGATAAAGTTTAATCTTCATCTGCAATAAAGTTTATTCTTCATCTGCGATTAAGATTAAAATTTATTGCATTTATTTTTCGATGCTACGTAATTAGGATTTTTTGCTTTTTTAAAATAACAATCATCTGTTATAGTTAATCTGTTTTGATTTAATGGGCATCTTAGCAACATTTTTCACCACTATTATCTCTGAATTATAACAAATGTATAATAAAATACATTGTAATCTGCAAGGATTGTTGAACAGTTTTCTCAGCTACTTATTTCTCAGCTAGTTGTATTAAAGGTTAAATATAAAGAAAATAAATCTAATAAATGAAAATAAATCTAAATAAAATGAAATAGGCAAAAAATATTATATTTTTGGTTTGATTGTTTTTGTGTTGTTTTTTTGTATTTGTTAGAATTTTTAGATTTTTATAGTTTCTAATGTAAAGACACTAAATATTACTTTAAAAGTTTACTAAATATAAATATATATATAAAAAAATTGAACTATTTATTTTTTTAAATTTTCAGTTCATGGCGGATTTGGATCATGGTCCACTTTTTCAGAGTGTTCTCAGACATGTGGTTCTGGAACAATGCATCGGTCAAGAACATGCAGTAGTCCTGAACCACGTGGTATAGGTGCAAAAAACTGCACTGGAGTTTATGATGAAGTGAAACATTGCAGACTTGCAGAATGTGTTGGTAATTTTTTTATATTAATGTTACTTGTAATAGTTGTTATAACTAATACAAATTTAAAACTAAAAAAAAGTAAATATTTTTTATAAATATTTTTGCAACTAATCAAATTAAACAACAATAATAAAAATGATAGTAAACTAATTTTTTGTTACTAATTTCTCCCTTTTATTTTTCTACTTGATATTTATAATATTTTTGTTATTGATTCATTTTTGAAATTCAGAATCTTTATTGTTATGTTTGTTTAGACTCTATAAATGGTGCATGGGCTCAATGGAGTGCATGGACAACATGTTCTGAAAAAGTATTTTGTCTACAAGGAGTCTCAAAACGTGGAAGAACATGTTCAAATCCAGCTCCAAATAAAGGTGGAGATGAGTGCCCTGGAATAAAGGAAGAGTCTCAACAATGTCCTACTAATAAATGCCAAAGTAAGTAAATACAAAAAAAGTTTTCAGAATTTACATTTTACATTAACATTTTTTATAAATATCAATTTATAAATAATTTTATAAAGTGATCTTTCAGTTAAAATATTTATATGTATAATTTTAAAAATTGATTTTGATATATGCAATACATCATTGTACGCTTTATAAATAATATTTTTATTATTTATTTTAAAACAAATTTACTTGTAACAAGGCTTTAAGCAAACACTAAATAAGTCAACAGAATACAACAAGGCTGTAAACAAAAACTAAATAAGTAAACTAATGCCTAAGTGAAAAAAATTTCAGAATTTACTTTTTTAAAATATACGAATAATAAGGAATTAGGAATAATAATTAAAATTATATATAAGTATTTATTTATAAATAGTTTTATAAAGTGGTATTTCAGTAAAAACATTTTTATATATAATTTTAAAAAGTAATAATACATATAATGCATCATTGTATGCTTTATATATTATATTTATACATAATATAATACCTCAAACACTTAGAAAATAAATGTATATACATATTTTTAAAACAAATTTAAAAGTCAAACACAAAGTTAAAAGTCAACAGAAAACAAAACAAAAGACAAAATAGTTGTTTGACAAAGGCTGTAAATTATGTGAGTCATAAATATGCACTGAAGACTGAAAAATATTCCAAAGCACCTATGCTCAAGGAAAAAAACTTTTTGAGCATGAAGAATGAAGGAACAATTACATTAAAAATTGTGACTTTTCTGACAAGTCACACAAGATTGAGTTTTGTTTGATGACCAAGGGATTTCATTTAACGAACAATAGCTTGCTTCAGCAGCAGCTATAGTAGTATTTGTAGAAAAGTGAAAGAAAAGTAAGAATGACAACCATTAGGTTGTCATTGTTATTATCCTAGTAACAATGACAACCTAAGGGTTGAGCTTAGCAGTTAGAGTAGGTGCTATATTTACAATGCTTTTTTAAATTTTAATTAAAAACCAGCCCACATATATCCATCCAAAGATAAATAAGAGATTAATAAAGGTAGTGAATGGAAATCAAAAGTAAGAAAAGGGTATGCACAACAAAAAAAGACAGCCTTACCAGATGTTAAGATGAAGCTGGATTTTATATATGATTTACATGAGAGATTAGTTGTAAATAATAATCTGAAAAGTCAAATTATAAGTAAGTAATTTGTAAATTTTAAGTAAGAATTAATAGTGTTTTCCATTCTTCAATATAGGAATATTGTGATAATATTAGCATTTAACACTAACTGAGTTTTGCTTTAGTTAAAATTCACCAGCCTATGCAGACCCTAGTTATCACAGAAGAGAGATCAGATTCATAATATGCAAATGTTATGCCACTTTAGAGTTAAGATTAACAAAATGATCATTATTACAGATGGATACATATGGATCATTATTATTGATAGATACAACAAAAGATTAAAGGTGGAACCTTATGGTACTCTGGAAGTTATTAGAAAGGAATGAGAGCGTTGCCCATCTAGGACAAATTTAATACTGCATTTATAAAAAAATTTGTTCAACAATTTCAACAATTATAAATACTTTTCTAGATACAGCATTTGAAGTAAGTTTATGGAGAAAACCAGCATACTAGATTTTATCATTAGTCTTCGATATATCAAAGTATCAAAGGCTTTCATGATAAGTTGAGATATTAAAAGTTTGTTGTTTAAAGTTTCAATTCAAAGCTTTAAATTTATGCAGAGAGTTATGAAAAGATTCCTTGAGAACACTTTTGTTAGACTAAGACAGGGATATTGTGTGGATCATATGTTGTAAAAGAGTTTTAGTGAGCAACAAAAGGAGGATGTCTATCAATGAACTAAACTGTTAAATGACAGGAGGAGTGTGGTCATTAGTTTCAAAAGATGAAGTAGAAGAGAATATTCTCTGTAAATAGTTCTGCCTTATTCTTGGGAGAGGTATTAAAATCAGACCCATGTATGAGAGATGGAATGTTAATATTGCTTTAGTTAATAGCATTATAGGACTTTCCAAATGATTCTAGAACCTAATTTCTAAAATAAAATACAAGATTTAATTGAGAATAATAACTTGAGAATAATGTCAGACAATATCATTTGATCTTAGTGTCAGACAATATCCTGTACATCGATTTCTTGCAATAATAAAATTATATCTATTCTCCGGAGATTTCTTTATTTGAAAAAAAAAATTAAAAAATTATTAAGATTAGATATAGCAGCTGGTCAAGAAGGAGAAATCTATGGAGAAACCATGGCCTAGACAACCTTTAATTCCAAAATACAAACCTTATTAAAAAAGGCTGCTGTGCAGAGACACAGGGTTGTCTCAGGATTCACAAGCTTTGCATCTGAATAAGAGATTGACAAAGACAAAATTTTGAGCAATAAAGACAAAATTTTGAGCAATAAAGACAAAATATTGAGCAATAAAGACAAAATTTTGAGCCAGCAAGGTCAGTGGTTCTAGAGCTGAGCAATTAAATATGATAAGCAATAAATTTACCTAATTAATAATGGCTGAAGGAGAAAATAAAAGAACATGGTCAATTTAATCAGGAACAAGATTTAAAGAGTACAGTCCTTTAGAATGATAAAAACAATTTTTTTTTTAAATATTTATGTACTTTGTTAATGTTTTAAATAAATAGAGAACTAGCAAGAGAGAGTTTTAAATAGATAACTAGCAAGAGAGAAACAGCAAATTTTGAGAAAAAATAGAGAAATAGCAAAAAGAAATTTGCAAAAGAAAGTGTTTATAAAGAGTTCAGTATTTTTTTTTAATTTTTTTTCATGTACTTTGTTAATGTTTTAAATAAATATAAAAGATAAATTAACACAATCATAGATAGTGCATAACATAATCATAGGTAGTGCATGACATGCAAATTCGAACATTTATATATATTCTATATTTTTCTTAAAAAATAAAAATAGTTAAAAAATATATAAATAATTACTATTAAAAATAGAAGATTCTTGCGATGAGATTTGGTAAAAAAAAAAAGAGTATTGCTATGACAATAAAAAGAGTAATGAAGTTATAATAGTAATATCAAGTAACATTATTTATTTATATAATTTTAATATTATTAGTAATATTATTTTTTATTATTAATGCTATTGTTGTTGTTAAAAATATTGTTATTATTATTATTATTATTATTATTATTATTATTATTATTATTATTATTATTATTACCATTATTGTTATAATAATGGTAATAATAATAATAATAATAATAATAATAATAATAATAATAATAATAATAATAATAATAATAATAATAATAATATTATAGTATTAATATTATTAGTAATATATTTATTATTAATGCTATTGTTGTTGTTAAAAGTATTGTTATTATTATTATTATTAATAATATTTTTATTATTACCATTATTGTTGTTACCAGTAATAAAATTATATAATAATATTAATATTATTATGTTTTTTAAAACTATTTACAGTATATTTGATAAAAATTTTTTTTATTAAGATGCCTTAAAGCAAAAAGTTGATTTGTTCCTTCCTGTTGCTAATGATGAGTACTTGTATAAAGAATGTGGAGCTACAAAAAAATATGCTACTCAAGGGCAAGGTTTTCAAGTTCCTGACAAAGTCCTTGCTCATACAAAATTTAATGAAAAAATTAAAAATGGTTATTATGCAACTCAAGTCGAAGAAGAAGGGAAAGTAATAAAAGTGAGTTATTTTCTTAGCGGTAATATTATTAAAAAAACAGTCTTGATTTGAAAAACAGGTTAACGTCAAAAAGGATATTTGGTTTAAAAGTTGGTTTAGTTCCTAAAGACCCCAATAGTCACATGCTTAGCCTGGGCATTTACATTCATAAAAAGTTACTCGTTTGTTGGGAAACTAGTTTAGAATCCATCGACAATTCTTTTGTTTAACACCACTTCACTTTATTGTCTTTCTCTTTGTTTTATATTGCTCTACTTCATTTCAAGGCTGCACTCTTTTCGATGTTATTTCTGATCAATTTGAACAAGCCTTCTCTCTTTATCCATCTGCCAATATAATTGTTGTTGGTGACTTTGATGCTCAATACACTGAATGGCTTGGCTCTAGTGTCAGTGACTTTGCAGGCATTAAGGGCCACAACTTTTTCAATCTACAACTTTTATCTAACTCAAATAGTCAATTTTCTAATTCATTTTCCAGAAAACCCAAATCATTTACCTTCTCTACTAAACTTATGTCTTGTTTCTGATCCATGTCAGTGCTCAGTTTCTCCAAATTCACCCTTAGGTACTTTTAATCACGTTTTGATCACTCTAAAACTATTATCTTATTCTTCTTCATCACAATCACTTAATTTACATTAATGATATTCCAGATATACATACATCTAAGGTGGCATTGTTCACTGATGATACTACCATTTTTTCTTGATAAAAAGCCAACACTCTTTGGAGGGGGCATTTGAGCTTGAAAAGGATCTCACTTCTGCTACAGCATGGGGCTCACAGTGACTGGTGAACTTTAATTTAAATAAACCCAATTTTTTAACGCAATTGTTACCACAATAATTTAGATCTTCCTATATTTATGAATAGTATTCGACGAGTCATCTACTCTTCATCTTCTAGGATTAACTTTTACCTCCAATCTCTCTTGGAAATCATATATCAAATCCATTGTAAAATTAGCATCTGCTAAGGTTCCATTTCTTTATTGTGCTCTTCACTTTCTTACTCCGGATTCTATTCTTTATCTCTATAAATCTCAAGTACGTCCTTGTATGAAATACTTTAGCCATATCTAGGGCAGATCTTACAATGATTTCCTTTAGATAAGGAGTGAAAATGCATTGTAAACATAGTTGGAGCTGCTCTTGCAGCCAACCTCCAACCATTTTCAAATTGTCATAATGTTGCTTCTCTTTCTTTTTTTAAAAACACTATAATGGGCACTGCTCTAAAGAGCTAGTGTCTCTTGTGCCATCTACTAAGTCCATTCTCGTGTTACTCATTATTCAATTAAGTCTCATCTTTTTTCTGTGACTATTCCTAAGTGCTCCAAAAACTTTTACTAGTTTTTTTCCTTGAACATCAGTTCTTTGGAATTCGGTTCCTTCAACTTGCTTTCCTTATTCATATAATTTGCAATCTTTTAAATTGTTTGTCAATCATTATTTTGCTCTATAAACTTAATCTTTTCTCTTCCAGTAATCTTTCTCTTCCACCTCTAATAGTGGTTGCTTGCAGCCTTGTTGGAAGCAAAGATGTTGAAAAAAAAAAATCATAAATCAAACATTTATAACTTCAATATTATAAAATATGTTAAATAAAAGCAAATATAAGGAAAGAAAATTTGTCACTGTTGTTAGCCATATATTGCGTTTTATAATTGAAAAAATAATTCCAGACTTAATTAATGTTGGATTTAATTTTATGTATGTAATTAATTTTACAAAGGAGTGTTATACATCATAGATGAAGAAGTGCAATATAGAACTTTTATTTTTTTTACATCAGGTCAGTAAACGAGGTCTATGAACGCCCTATAGTTGAATATTAGTTGAATATTGAAGATATTGGTTTTTGTCTATCAAAAATGTATTTGGGAAAATTGTCTTCAGCGGTAGTGCCTAAACTATGGCTAAATATGGCCCTGATTGATTTCAGATATTTACAATTTATATGTTGTTATTTAAATTATTATTTCTTTTTATATACTTAAAGTATTTTTTTTAGTACTGCTTTGAACCATGGCCTTTATTAACTATCAAGGAAGCCGCTGATTTAGTACCTTCTTATAGAAAAACCCCAGAGCTACCTAATTATAAGAGACCAGACGAAAAAACTCCTGTGCTTGGTTTATCTGTGCGTATTGAAAAAGACACTTACAAGCTACGGGGATGGGAGTTTGGTATTGAAAAAACTAGTGAATATATAGCTGGAAACAAATTAAAACTTCATGATGTTATGTAGGTGTTTTTTACTGTTTATATTTATATATATGTTTATACATATCTATCTATCTATATATCTATATATATATATATATATACATATATATATATATATATATATATACATATATATATATATATATATATATATATATATATATATATATATATATATATATATATATATATATATATATATATATATAAATATATATATATATATAAATATATGTATATATAAATATATATATATATATGTCAGTATATATATATATATATATATATATATATATATATATATATATATATATATATATATATATATATATATATATATATATATATTTATATATATATATATATATATATATATATATATATATATATATATATATATATATATATATATATATATATATATATATATATATATATATATATTTATATATATATATATATATATATATATATATATATATATATATATATATATATATATATATATATATATATATATATATATGTCAGATACTTTCAAAATTTTGATTAATTAGGGATATTACTGTAAGTCTTTGAGTTATTGTTTATCTTTTTTTGTTTCGTATTTTATATCAACTAAATTACGCGATTGCATTGACTAAAATCATTTTTTTCTAATCTACTTTTCTCTACTAACTTTATTAAAAGACTATCTCTGAAATATAAGTAAAATACAAAAAATGTTTTATGAATATAACAAACTGTTACTAAAAATTTATTTAATGGGGAAATTAGATTTCTTTACTTTACTGCCTACTTTTATTTAAAAAGGTAAATTAAATATGTTTAATGACAGGAATGTTTTTTTTATAACAACAAACTTGTACTAGAAATTTAAAAAGCAAGATAGCTGAGTTCACTGCTTACTTGAGTTTAAAACGTAAAAGTAAATTTAAATGTTTGAAGGAACCGAAGTCATAACATTTTATGACGATAAATGACAAAATATTTATTGGTAATTTTCGTTGCCATGATAGCGTGCAAGCTCTTGCGAACAATATTTTTTTGCAATTAAACAACATTTGTTGTTGTTTTTACTGAGAATTTATAATTGTAACTTTATTTCGCACTGCAACTTATGTATAAAGAAATTAATATTTATTATAAATATGAACTCTAAAAGTGAACTCAATAAACTTGAAATATGAAATTTATGAGCTTGCATTTACTATTTTTAAACTTTTTCTATGTTTCTATTTTTAAAATATTTCTTTTGAGGATACAATTTATCACATGATGGTGTAAGGGTTTGTCCATAAAGGACAAACCCTTTGAACAGAGTTTAAATAATAATTATAAGTAGAGATCATTAGCTCTTTTCAACCAAGATTTTCATTGAAAATAAATCACTAAAAATTATCTTAAAAGTTACCATTTAATGCCCTCCAAAAAAAAGGAAAACTATATTTAAAAGAATACTCTTAAAATGAAAACGACAATGATATATTAAGATTAAAAATAAACCAAATATATTATTCTTAATAATAATTAATATACACTGATAATTTTAAATATAAAAATATATGAATTTTAATATATCTTTGGAGATTGAAGCTTAATTTGCCGTGTCGTTGTGAAACTACAGCTAATTTTTTGTTGATTTCATTTTTATCTTTAATATATGTTACAGACGGTGTTTTATTTTATTTTTGGCGCTGTCCAATCAATGTATGCAGCGCTGCAGTGGAGTAGAAGAAAAAAGAATATAAGAAAAGGATCCCACGCATTTTTGAAATACATTTTGATCTCAGGGAGGGGGATTGAGAAATATTTTGACAAATTCCTAATTTCAACAAAATGCTGTATCAAATTTATTCTTGGTTAACACCCTGCTCATCTATATCATTTTGAAGATTTATATTATCCTCTTGATCATTTATTATGAAATCATTTTTGCATCATCAGCAAAGAGCTTTACAACTCGTTTAGACTAATGCATAAATTATTTGTGAATATAATAAATTGTAGTTGTCTAATACATACTTTTCCATTCAGATAGATGTTTTTATAATAGTACTCTCTGCATCCCTCAGGTAGTGTTTTGGTAAGGTCAAGCGTTTTTAGTGAACTTCCTATACAAATTTGTTTGTTAACAAATCTGTGTTGCTGAGAATTAATCAGTTTGTTTTTTATTAAATAAAAATTTGTTTTGTCTCATTATTTTTTCCATTATTTTGCAAATTATTAAGGTTAAAGAAATAGTTTTTTGGATCAAGTTTATTTCCTTTTTTCCAAATAGAGGTTTTATATATATAAACTTTTAACCATACTTTGGGTAGATTACCAGTCTTTCAAATATTTAAATTAGTGAAAAAATTTGTTTCCTGAATATTTCTCTTTATTTTAAGGTAAAATTATTTCTAACTTATAGCTAACTTAACAAACTATTTTTTAACTATAATAATTTGTATATATATATATATATATATATATATATATATATATATATATATATATATATATATATATATATATATATATATGTATACATATATATATATATATATATATATATATACATATATATATATATATATATGTATATATATATATATATATATATATATATATATATATATAGTATATATATATATATATATATATATATATATATATATATATATATATATATATATATATATATATATATATATATATATATATATATATATATATATATATATATATATTTAATTTTTACCATAAAATGTATGTTTTTATGTTTTTTTAAAAAAAAATTAATTTAGAAATCTGCAAAAGGTTTAAAAGTTTTAAAATTTCTTTTTTAATTGATAGATTGGCTGCCCAAACCAAAAACTTCCATAAAAAGTATAGCAAGCTAAAATGCTGTAAATTATATTTTTTAACTTTTTACTTTTTTTTTCAGGTTTACATATTATTCCGATGGAACTTTCTGGAGCTTTCTTGCTAAAGGAGATTTTTTGTTATTTAGTCCAACAGTTTTTAAATGTGTTATATTTAACAATGTCACAAATCAAATTGCTACATCAATGCTTGGAAAAACAGATTCGATAACTTTACAAAGTTTTCTGAATGTTCTAAATATTCCAGACGAAATTGCAGGTCAAGGTGCTTCAATAATTAAAGCATTAAAGTAAATATTTTTGATTTTAATTTGCTTTTAATGATCAATTGAAATTCAAGCATTTTTAAATTGCATTCTCTTAACAACCACTAATCAATTCTATAATATTTTTTTTACTGATGTGTACATTGGGTTATGACACATTTAATTTTTTTAAATTTTAACATGATTGTCAAACTACATGATGAGCAATAGTGCTAATATGTGATACATAATACGCTTCTGCTTTTCCTTTACAAAAACCTCACTTAAGACACAGATTAAAATGTTTTGTTAGAAAAAGGGCATTATAGAAATGAACAAATTTTAGTTCTTTGGATGCATATAAATTAAATAATCTCTGTGAATATTTGCTCTTTGGTGTATTATTTGTTTCCATTTTCAATTGTTGCATGTCTGGGATTGTTTTTTGTATGTTTACTTTCAATTTACCGTTTCTGGATGTTTGAAAATTTTTTGTTGCAAATGTGATTGATATTACAAAAACAGATGGCATCTGGTTGGCAATTAAGATAAAAGATTTTATATAGGTGGAACTTTTAAGCAATGTATGCCTTTCTGCTACTTCCAGATCAACTTGAGCTGCTTGCTGAAATTTGGGAATTGATTTGTGGAACTTGGTTTGATGTTTGGTTCAGTGATCATTTTTATAAAGAAGATAATTATGAATAATTAGACAATGGTTTAAAGAAACACAAGAAATCACTAACTATTATTAGGAAGTATTAAAATATAGACAATACAGCAATTCAAACACAAAGATGAAACATTTGGTCTGAAAGAGGAATTAAAATCATGCAAGAAATAAAGTGTAAAAATGCTGAAAAAATTAATTCGAAACTTATTTTATCAAACTTTAATTTAATTACTATTTCTGAATTATGTTTTATATTACTACTATGGTCATAAATAAAAATTTATTCCAGTTTTATTATGTTGCAATATTTCCAAAGCAGTTTTTTAGGTCCTGGGTGAGGTTTTTAAAATAAAATCATAAATGTTAATTTTAGTGTTTTTATACCTAACCTCATCTCTGAGGACCATGTCATTTGCAAAAATTGGTTGCAAAAATGTTATAACCCTAGTGTACCTGTTTAGTAACAAAAAAAAACAACCTTAAAATTTTGATATGCAAGGAACTGAGTTTTTCATAAAGTACTCCTCCCCCTCTCATTTAAATCCACAATTTGACTTGCCACTTTTTTTTTGTGCGTTAAAATATTTCTCAGAAATTTTTATGCTTTCACATTCCTTTCACATAGCCTACCATACAAGAAATTTGAAATGCACTCTGTAAAAAACTTAATCAATCTGTATTTTGCAATTTTTCAATCTCATCTCATCTACTGTTGTCAAGTTTGGGGAAAAATTGGCAACTGTAATATTACTAAATTGTTATCAGCTCAGCGCCAATCAATCAATAATTAATTAATTTTCAAGTTCATAATACAGAAACGTCAAAATTCTTCAAAAAACTTAAAATTCTTACTTTGTCAGCACTAGTTAAATTTGCTAATCTTTTTTTTAATTTTGACTTATTAAAAATTTACCTTCCTCTATTATATATGAATAAAGTTCTTATTGTTATTATAATTTTTAAATTAATATTCTTAATATAATTATTTGGTGTCACTCCTTTGATCAGGGTTCTGCATGAGTGACTCCTTCCTCAATAAGTTATTTATATTTCTTCTGAATAATTATATTTTGATTTTTATGTTTATAATATTATAGATATTCTTATTCTTATTATTATATTATTATTATTTATAACATAGTTATTATTATTCCTATTATTGTTACTATTGTAACAATAGTAACAATAATAGGAATATTGTTTGTTGTTGATGTTGTTGTTGTTGTTGTTGTTGTTGTTGTTGTTGTTGTTGTTGTTGTTAGTTGTTACAACTATGTAATTGCATAATAATGTTATTACTCTTTTTTTGTTGTTCTTTGATGTGTTTGATGTTATTGCAGCTATGCAATTATATATGCAGCTTGGTTGTAATTTTTTGTTATGCAATTATATATGCAGCTTGGTTGTAATAACTTTCCTCTAATATTGTCTGCTATATTTGAATTATTATAAATTTTATTTTAATGTAGTGAAACATATTTTTGATAGCATCAAAATTTTTTTTTAGGTCATTCAACTTATTACAAATTTTTAAATATTAAAACAGTTCATATTATTTTGATTATTAAAATTTATTAAAATTTATTTGTTTTACTTTAATTTAAAAGAAATTGAGTTTCTTTTAATTGTCATTGCAACAAGATCTTATTAAACTTTTCAGAGTTTGGATCAGAATTACTCTGAAATATACGAAGAGTGGCTACTTTAATACTAAGATTTTTTTAATCATTTTTAAACATATTATTAATTTTTTTGAATTTCAAGTTATATGTTGTAATTTACTAATTTATTAATTACAAGCGTTGATAACAATTGGTAATGTAAAAACATTCTTTATATATATATATATATATATATATATATATATATATATATATATATATATATATATATATATATATATATATATATATATATATATATATATATGTATATATATATATATATATGTATATATATATATATATGTATATATATATATATATATATATATATATATATATATATATATATATATATATATATATATATATATATATATATATATATATATATATATATATATATATATATATATACGAGAAACCTATTCATAATTATTTCCAGAAATAATTGATAAAACACTTACTAGAGACTGAATATTATATTATAATATGAATTGGGCACTGTATTTAATATGAGCGATATTGTTTTACTATACTATTATGCTTAAGTGTTATATAGCATTGCTATAAAAAATTGTAACACAAACATTTTTTCATATTATAGACTTTACAAAAGATAAAACAATGTTACTTGCAATCAATACTTTACAATGTTGGACCTAATAAGACTTATCTTAAATTTGGTATGACCCAAAAAGGCTCGTCAAATTTATATTTTAAGCTGCCACGTTTCATCCATGTTGATGGTGTAGGCAATTTTTTCTTTATATCCTCCAGGGGGACACTGGCTATGTCCTTGATGTCAGGAAACATAAACATATTTCTTATCTTACTCGCTCTCATAAGTTTGACAGTTGCCATGACAATTCCAACATAATGTTTAACAGTTTTTTTGGTGTAAAATTTAACCAACACAAAGTTATTGACCTGGAAATTTCTATCTGGAACAATCACATCGTCTACATCAAAATCTTCTTCTAATGAATCGATTTCAACAAGGGCTTCGCCAGAAACGGAAACGTTTTCTATTTCATCATCACTACTAATCTTCCTGTTTTTCTCGTTTTTAGAGCATTTTCGATTTTTGTTGAGCTCTTTGATCTTATTTTTTCTTTGTTTTTTTTCTTCTTCAATTTCTATAAGTTTTTTCTCGGGTGTGTCTGTCAATATTCTAGTTTTATTTTTCTTCCGTTTCATGCCACCCAATTTCCTGGGGCCAGCTTTTGGATATGGTCTTACTAAATCAGGTGTTACATTGACAGTGCCACTAGTCTGGCTTTTAGATAGAGATTCAAGTTGAGATGGCCCAGTGACTTTCATATTTGAACTTGTACGATCTTCTAGTCTCAGATTTTCTTCTGTTGAAGGCTGTTCCATGATAGGTTGGTCTGAAATCGATTTTTCTGTAGCAACATGATTCTCTTCTGGCAAGTAGCGATCAGTTATAGAAGAACAAACGAAATCTTCATCAGAGAAAATGTTTGAATCGAATGGCCAAATGCCAGGTTTTTCAAATCCCGTTTAAATATTTTGCAACTTGAATGAAAGTGGGATGGCCTTAGCTGCTAATTTTGGGATTTCATAAATTGTTACCGTTTTGCCAGGATTGCTCACCATCCAATCTGTTACAGCAGTGTTATAACAAGTTTTGAGTGGTCCATAGACAGTCAGGTCTAGGGGTTGCAGTTTATGGCTGCAGTGCGGTGGAAAAGTTATTAAAACAATGCCTGATTCTATACAAAAATTGAGAACTAGTACTGAAATATGGCTCTCCTGGTTGTCCAGCAGCAATAGAACTGGTGATAAAGGCGTTGGTTTTGCCTATTTTGCAAAATGGTGAATATATTTTAAAAAACTTGGTGCTGTCATCCACCCTGAAGGATGTGCTGCTCCATCTGAACTAACAGGTGCATCATTTAACATATATGTTTTGAAAATAACTCATGGGAATATGAAAAAGGGTGGTATTGAGTTACCCAATGCATTAATGCCACAGCAAACAGTTACAAGTTTCCCTCTTTCAGCTGACGTTATTTGCCTAACTTGCTTAGTGCCTCTGAGAGCAATCACTTTCTGGGTTCATTGTACTGTTGATAATCCAGTTTCGTCTATATTGTAAACAGACTCAGGGTCGAAACGATGTCTTTCATATACAGTTTTAAGATTTTCAAAAAAAACTCCAACATTTTTCTTATTGAAACATGTGGCACATGAGAGACTAGTAGCTTCTGGGGTCCTTATCGAAAGCTGAGGTTGTCTTTTAAAAAATCCCCTTAGCCAATCTTTGGATGCATGTTTCTTTTCTGTCCAGTTTTCTGGTATTTTTTTATTAATGGCAGTGGCGTATTCGTATACTAATTCGCATGCCTTCAGTTTTGACATTCCATAGTTAAGTTTAAACAATGTTACAAAATATTCTGAAATTTTTTCTTCATCTTTTGTGAATATTTGGGATGATATATATTTACAAGAAATATCTTTCACAACGCCACCCTGATTTATGTATCTTTGATGGTTAGACCTGGGTAAATCATATTTAATCGCAGTAGTTTTAATTTTTACTCCGTTAGAAACCTCTTCCAATGCACGCAAAATAACATCTATAGGGATTTCACATCGTTTATTTTTCTTTTTATATAAAAACGACATTGTCCTCTAAAGAAATGATTAACCAATCAATCCAATAGTCATAGCAAAAAAGTATAAACATATGACAAAAAAACACACTAAAAAAAGAGGGAGCATTGGGCATGACCAAACCTCCCTCCTACCTGCGTGCCCAATGCTTTCCATAACCTCACTTTTCAAACAGATTTGAATAAGTTTATTTTTATCAAATGTTGAACCCTAATTGTCAAGTAAATATAATGTTCATTAAACACAAAAGAAGAAGTTAACATAGATACTTACAATTTCTTGCAGATTTTTTTGTTATCTTTCTTCAAATCACAAACAAAATATTTACTTTTGTATGCAACAAACTGTTACGGGCATGTAACTTGACAACCAAGTAAAACAACAGCTGACACTTTTGATGAGCGGTGTTGCTAGTTATAAAACTATAATGCTATGGTAGAAAACAAAAAATATCTAGAATAGATTGTGAGAAATGAGGGGGTGCCCAAACCTCCCAACTGTCCAATGCTTCCCTACCTCCCCTACTCTTTAATGCACTACGTTGAGCTAAAAGCAAAACATTTGGTTCCAAGCTTAGTGCATTATCAAAATGGACCCAAAGTGCTTAAAATTTCAAATTTAATGCATTTATCAGCTCATTAATTTTTTAATTTAAGTATTTATAAGGCAATTTATGTGTATTTATGATTTTCTTTTTTAAACATTTTTTTATGATTTTGTTTGTGTTTTTATAGAAATATTGGCATTTGGGAAACCAAATTTACCCAGCCTCAAATTGGTTACGATTTCGTTAATAATTTCACTGCACCATTCCGCATAACTGTTTCTAAAATATTCAATGGGGTGCCATTACACTTTGAGATTGTTTATATAAACACTGGATGGGATAAAAAAGTAAAAAATTATTTATATATATTTAATTTTAAATTTTATGTAAATTTATATAAAAAACATAAAATGTAAGAGTATTTTTATATATATATATATATATATATATATATATATATATATATATATATATATATATACATATATATATATATATATATATATATATATATATATATATATATATATATATATATATATATATATATATATATATATATATATATATATATATATATATATGTATATATATATATATATATATATATATATATATATATATATATATATATATATATATATATATATATATATATATATAAATCTTAAAATTGTCTAAGTTCAGTCACTTAAGCCTTAAACATTCATTTATCACACATAAATGAAAACTTTCCAATTTTATTGCTAAAACATACAGACAATTATACTGATAATTGATATTATAAAATAAAAAAATGAAAAATAAAAACATGTACTCAATATTTAATGCCAAATGAAAACATCTATTTTGACCAAACTTTCAATATTATTTCATAAGTTCGTTTGCTATATAATTCCTAATAAGGAATCACAAACTTAATGTCACAAATAATGAAGTCTAACTTTTAAATATTGTTTTATCCTTTATAATGCTATAATATCAGGTAACAACAGTAACCAAGGAGGGCATCACTGCGGGCTCAAAAAAAAAGTCTTTTGAGGCACTAAAGAAAACAACAAGGAGCACATAAAAAAAGGCCTTTTTAAATACAAATAGTATCATTTTTTATTTTAATCTACTAAATTTAGTTAATAAAATAAAAAATATATTTTTCAATTAAGTTAAGAAAGTTTTTTCAAGTAACGAAAAAAAATACTACTTTGCTTTAAATGAGTTTTGTATGTTTATTGGCAATTCTTACACATATCATTGACCAAAGTAGAACAGCAAAATCCACACAACCAATTGTCACAGGATTTGCAACACATCTATAATTGTTATAACCTTTAGTTAGTATTTATATACTACTTTCTAGCTTACTAATATACTACTTTCTTGTATTTCGTTGTTCTTTTTTTTTGCTATTATTTGCTTGTTTGGAAGTTTTATCAAAGCTTCTTCAGATGTCATAATGTTAATTTTTATGAGTTGTAGGAACATTTAGCTTTGACTTTGATACGGAACCTTTGGGCATGCCATCATGTAAAACATATAAAATTGATTTCTTTAAATGCTCATAAGCAGTTGTGCAGCTTGTTAATAAAGTCTTTGTTTTAATGAGTTCGAAAAAGTTTGTGTACTCAAAATTCTATGCTTTTGTATATTGGAAGAGATTTCTAGAATTGCGGTGACTATTATAGGCAGTATTGGTAAAGTTTGAATACTTCAAATTCATCCAATAGCTGAGTTTTCATTAGCTATTTTTTCCTTACACAGCGGAATAATTCCTGTTGCTTTGAAACTGTAAAAATCATTTTTGCTAAAGAAGCTTTGGTCAATTAGCTTTTTGAGCAGCCCAGGCTAGCTAGGTTTTGTAAGATGTTTGGAACCATTTTGAATGAAATGTTTGTTCTAAGGTTCTGCGCCATTTACTTTTCACTTTCCTAAATACGCTTACATCAAGGGGCTGTAGCAATTGAGATATATGAAGCTTATAAAAAATAATACTCTCCTCTTTTGCTAAGTGAACTAGTTGTAGCGTTACATGTGAGGCGTAGCCATCTAGAAAAAGAACTTTGGAATTCTAATAATTAAACAGTTTTTAAAATGCCAAGGTTTCTAGATTCTTTGCACATATGTTTTAAATATTTCTTAATATAAATACTCAAATTCATCATAAATATTTATCTTTGGTCTTGGAATAAACCTTGAACAGGCAAGAATGTCCCAAAAGCATAACAGCAAGCAAGAATTGCAACTGAAGCCTTTTAGTTGCTACTGCAAAGTTTCTTAGGCCCTTTTGGACCTTTTTGACACACTAACTTGAATTTGCCTTAATCACATTGAAGGCCAGATTCATTGAATTAAAAGTGTGGAATGGCTTATTTAAAAAAATTTTTACCTTTTAAAAATTGCGACTTTTTTTTATTAAAAAATAACTTATTATAAAATATGTTTATATATAAACATATAATTTTAAGAAATACCATTGATCAATAGTGCCTGGCTTAGTCAACATTGTACGTTTAGGCAGCATATTATTTGAAGTTCTGAGCAATAGCTTATCACAATGAAGTTTAATAAATGATTAATACACCGCAAGTGTAACTTTGCCGCCATCAAAACACATTTGATTTGAACCAACCAAGCAGTTATTAACAACATACAGTATTTTAATTCCAGTCAAACTAAAACCAATATCACCTGTAAATATTAAAATTTTAACTAAAATGTCTTTAATATTGTTGATTGACTTGTACAGAAATAACAGTATGCTTGCTGTTATTTCTGTCGATGAAAGTTGATTTTTTGAAGTTAAATATTAAAGCTGCTTTTCTCTTATTCATACCTCCACAGCCTTCAAACCATGAGCCATTTGTGCTTTCTCATATAAATCCATAGATGGCATAGATAACTTACAAAAAAACTACTTCAGTGCATTGCAATATAATTTATTGTTTTGTAATTAGTTCATATCAGTGATATAAATTTACCATTAATTTTTGAAATCAAAAATAACCTTAATATTGACCAGTAAGTTTTATCTTAAAACAAGTTAATTTTGAAACTATAAACAAGTTCTTTATTCAAATAAAATACCATGGTACGTATTTATTGAAAAAAATTTCAAAATTTACTGGTAAATTTACAGATAAAATTAGCAATACATTTTAAATTTGCAACACTAGTTCATATTCACAAAGTCACATTTTTCACATATTAACATTTCATAACATTCCTGCATTCATTTTTCACATATCAACATTTCATAACATTCCTGCATTCATTTTTCACATATCAACATTTCATAACATTCCTGCATTCATTTTTCACATATCAACATTTCATAACATTCCTGCATTCATTTTTCACATATCAACATTTCATAACATTCCTGCATTCATTTTTCACATATCAACATTTCATAACATTCCTGCATTCATTTTTCACATATCAACATTTCATAACATTCCTGCATTCATTTTTCACATATCAACATTTCATAACATTCCTGCATTCATTTTTCACATATCAACATTTCATAACATTCCTGCATTCATTTTTCACATATCAACATTTCATAACATTCCTGCTAATTTTCTCCTTTATTGTTTATCCATGAATGACCAAATTTAGAGTATTTCAAAATTTTTATAATTAGTTTGGTGATTCTTAATAATACTGAGATTAAATTTGATAATTTATTTTAATGAATTTGAGAGTGAATCAGAATTAAAAAAAAAAAAAACTTAATTTTAGATTTTAATAGTATGCCTTTTTTCAGATTGTTGTTTTGCAAAAGAATTATTAGTATATATATATATATATATATATATATATATATATATATATATATATATATATATATATATATATATATATATATATATATATATATATATATATATATATATATATATATATATATATATATATATACAAACATACATTAGGGTGGCCCTAAAAGCAACTTTGAAAATATTTGATGGCACCCCCTCACCCCCTAAGTGTGTTCTATATAATAAACAAGAAATTTTAAAATAAAAAATATTTTCAGGGACAACCTTTAAATATAAGAAAGGTCCCTAGTATTTGATATTATTAGGGACCAGTCTAAAGTTTTCTGGGGTCTTGCGCCACCCTTTAAAATATTTCTTATTCAAAAGTTTTTTAAACCCAGTATTATTTCATTATATAAATATATTTAGGGGGGGGGGGGGGGGCTGCAAACATGTTCAAAATAATTGTTTTTAGGGCAACCCTAATACACCCTAATACACCCTAATACACCCTAACCCACACACATATACACACACAGATAGGGTCAGAGAAATAAAAATCTGAACAAAAAATATTGTAAAAAATAAACTTAGTTATGTTTGCTGCAAGTAATCTGCAGTGCTTGAACTTGACTGAGCAATGAAAGCCCACAGAGAAATATGAAACATTTCTATTGAAAAAACCTTTTATATAAAGTAGGATAAATAATAAAAATAAAGAGAAAAATGAACATATGTTCAAAATAAATACAGATTTATTTTAAGAAGAAAATGCTTATACACAAACCATAGTCAACAGTAATTTTATCGTTAAATATACCTAAACCAAAATAGAACACATAATTAACCATAAATTTTCTTTGAATAGAAAAGTTTAACTTACTTTAAAACAAATATACATATGCATAGATATATCAAAATTTAAAATGAATAAATATAAAATGATAGGCGATAAAAGATAAAGAACGTTATTGGTTTTGTATAATCTTAATTTATGTAGTGGTGGTAATAAACGTTTCCTCAGAATTGCGTTTATTATTACCAACATTTCGAAAGGGCTCAGCACCAATACTTAATGTGAAAAAAAATGTATAGTTTGAAATCATTGTTGATGGAAAAGTTGTCATATTGACACCAACTGGTCATGACAGCATATCTGGCAAATTACTTTTATGTGGCACCTCTTGAACTAGTCAAAGCCCTTATTATAATTTTTAACCATTGTATCAACAAATTCATTGTACCATCTGATTGGCTTTATGCAGTCATCATACCTATTTCAGAAGTCAAAATTCCTTCTCTACCATCTGACTACCAACCAATCTCTATAACATCTGCAACATGCAAAATAGTTGAACGCATCTTTGCAAAACATATTATATTGTATGTTCAAGATAAAATGTTATCAAATAGCCAATTTGGTTTTCTTCCTAGTAAAAATACAATTGATGCTATCATACAAGTAACTGATGACTGAGGGCAATACCTCATTAACTGCTACATTCTTTGATTTTACAAAAGTATTCAACCTCGTTGACCACATTATCCTTATGCACTAACTTGAAATCAACCTCCCATCATGGTTATCATCCTGGATTGCTAAGTGGCTTTCAAACCGTAAACAATATGTTATATTCAGCAGCAAGCCTACTGAATAGAAAGATGTCTTATCAGAAGTGATACAAAGAAGTGTCCCCGTCCCGATCCTCTTTTTAATTTATGTACTAGTTTTAAATGACTACCTTCGGAAGGACATTACACACAAGAAATATGCAGATAATATCCTAGCTTACACAACTGGTAATAACTCTTCTTTTCTACAAAAAGTTATTGGCAGAGGTAAAAAGCCAGTCAAAGCATTAAAAAGTAAAATTCTTGAAGTTGTAAATTCATACAAATACTTTGGTGTCAACCTTAACTCCAGTCCTAATTTTGACAAGCAATGGTCTAGTATACATAAGAAAATTGCCCCTAATGAGTATCTTTTTAAGCAGCTCCGAATATTTGGTGGATGGTCACAACCCATGCTTATATCTGCCTACCACGCTTATTACCTTAGCTACTTTACCTACAATGCAGTTATCCTCATCTCAATGACCAATATAATTAAATCTAGGATAAAAGTCTTTCAAAACCATCTTCTATAAGCTGCTGGTACTGCAAGCTACTATGGTATCCTTCTTATTGAAGAACATCTTAATTTCTTATGCCTCAGCAAACTTAAACTAAATTTTAAACAAACCTAACGATTCAATTACACTTAGTCTACATAAAAACAATCACTCGCATTCCACTTTCAAATTTAATATTAGATCTGCAAAATCAACAATGTATTTAATCACATACCTACAAAAATTTATTCGCCGCCTTCGTAATGATGCAAATAAACTCTATTCTTTAGATTACATGAAATCTTTCATTAGAATATTCCAAAATATTGTACTATTAGTTTTTGTAAACTTAAATCAATATTTATTTCATTTTGTAAACTTAAATCAATATTTATTTTAGCAATTAAATATATAATTATTGTAATTTTTTTTTTGTTCTTTTTATTTTTTGATTAAATTTGCTTTCATAATTATCATAAACTTTTTTATGAAACTTTTTTTTTGAAAAATTTTAAAAAATTTTATTTTAATTTTATTTGATAATTTTTTTATGAAATTACTTGACAAAGTTTACTTATTTAAAAAAAAATCATATCTACGTATTTATGGGCAATTCCACGAGAAAGAAGAAAAAAAAAAAAAAAAAAAAAAAGTCATGAAAACACATACTAAACTCCATAACTCTGTTTTTAACTATTTTAAAATACTTTTAAAAAGCAAAAAAGTTATTTAAAAAAATCATTTTGTTATACCATAGCATGGTTTTAAATGTGTTTTGACTTTTATACACGTTAAAAATGGTATCATAAAACCATAATTGAGAACTTTCATAATGTTATAGTACTTTTTTTTAAAATAATTTTTATTCTGTGACAGTCATAATGACTGTCACAACAAAAAGTGCTTAAAATTTTTAGTAAAACCTCTAGTAAAAACTATAAAACTTAGAATATAATAATATCAATATGTGCTAAATACACACTTCAAATGATTTTTTTTTACCAAGCTGTTTGCTGCAGTAAGCACAAAATTGTTTTGTTCAGAAGTGCTAAAAAGTAAAAGTTTTAATTTGAAAAAAGTTTAGGACTGTTTTTGTTACTATTTTTTATTATTTATTACTAATTTTAAGTCATTTTTGATACTTATGCGGAATTGCCTATATATATATATATATATATATATATATATATATATATATATATATATATATATATATATATATATATATATATATATATATATATATATATATATATATATATATATATATATATATATATATATATATATATGTATATATATATATATATATATATATATATGTATATATATATATATATATATATATATATATATATATATATATATATATATATATATATATATATATATATGTATATATATGTATATATATATATATATATATATATATATATATATATATATATATATATATATATATGTATATATATATATATGTATATATATATATATATATATATATATATATATATATATATATATATATATATATATATATATATGATATATATATATATATATATATATATATATATATATATATATATATATATATATATATATATATATGTATATATATATATATATATATATATATATATATATATATATATGTATATATATATATGTATATATATATACGCACACACATATTTGTTATATATTGTTTTAAGGTTGCATTTGGGTTTTCTTTTGATGGCGAGTCATATGGTTCAGTTTTAGAAAAAATGGCTGATTCTAGTTCAGCTGGAAAAGCTGTTTCAAGTTTCTTGAACAGTATTGGACTGCAAATAGAAGTATATTTATAAATGTTTTTACCTAATGTTTTGTTTTGTTTTTTATTTTTTTACTTTGTTTATGGTACTTAAAATCTACATGTATCTACATGTCATATATATATACTTTGTTAAGTATATGTCACATATACTTAGCATACCATATCAAAATCTATTTTTTCAATTTTTTATTATTCTTTACCATTAGCACATTTGTTTAAATACAAAATAAAAGTTTCTTTTATATTGATAACAAATGTGTATTGATTTAAATATATGAGGGAAATGCCTTACTTAAAGCTTTTCTAAACAATTATTTGAAGAGATAAATAATTTTAAAAGTCTGGGTTAAAAAATTAGAATTTCTCAGATTTTGAATTCTCTGTAATATTTATAACCAATAAAAATTAAAACAATTTGGTTCTTTAATATGTTTTGACAAAATGTGTACCTTTGAAGTTGGTTTTTTGATAATCTTTTATTCAAATGTCTTCATTATCTTTTTGATAGTAACTTATATCAAAAGTTTTTTTTCTCTATGACTTTTAAACATAGCTATAATATAGTCTTTCAATTTAATAGTTTTTTCTTTTTAGTATTTATATCACAGCTATTATGCATAGGTTGGCTTGGGATATTGTCCTGTTAAATATGGAGATTTTCGTACTGCAAAAGCAACAGGGTTCATAAAATCACCTTTAAATAAAGTTTATTCTGGGTTTATTCCAGGTGGGCTCACAGCTGTTGCTATGGTGAGTTATGTTGTTTTATATATATTAGGTGTTTTTCCAAGTTATATATGTATGTTTATATGTATATATATAGTGTGAACTTCACACTGTGATGTAAGATGACCCCCTTAACAGACTTTAACCTGCACAAGAAATACTTTTACCATTTTTTAAATATTAACATTTACTAATAAGAGAAGACACACCAGTAAGATAAAAAAAATATAAATTTAAAATTCAAAAATAAAACAATAGTTCAAAAGTATCTGAATATAAATTTTTTTGATACTTGACTTTCTAACTTTCTAAATTTACTAAAAAAAAAAAAAATGAAATTATTTTTAAAGACTACACGGGACGACTGAATAAGCGCGAATTTCATAAGTGCGAACTGGCATAAGTGCGAATTGGAATAAGTGCGAAATACTAATTTGCACTTATGCCAATATTAGAAATTTTATTTGGCGCACTTATGCCAATTCGCAGTTATGCCAGTTCGCACTTGTGCCAGTTTTTGCAACTGCCTCGCACTTATGCCAATTTGCACTTATAGCAATTTGCATTTATGCCAATGTTTGCAAAATTTTTTGGCGCACATATGCTAATTTGCACATATGCCAGTTCGCATTTATGCCAGTTTTATAACAATTTGTTACCAACAATGATGCATAGATCAAAACCCTCCTGAATCTATAGTTTAAAGAAGAAAAATTATTATTATTATTTTTAATTAACTGTTATCAATTTTAAAGTTAATTTCAAAAAATAAATAAAAGAAGTTATTACTCAAGACATAACACAACACTATAACAACAATATAATAAATACCACTAAAGATTGAGACTCTTTTGCATTGTTGAAGACAGGGAAAACAACAGCTTCACATATTTGTGCACCCAGTGGCACTAATTTGTGTATATCCATCCTTTTCATTTTCTGGTGTTTAACTTTACTACAAAAAAAAAGTGTTATGCATAACTGAGATGTTTGAATATGGATTATGTACAGAAATCAACTAACAGTCATATATAACATTTATAAAGCTAAATTCATCAAACACAAAATGCTATCTTTAAGGTATGTTTTGTCCAGTTGTCTTAAAATAAATATAATATTTAATAACTAACAACTATTTCTATTCTTCTCCTAGCGTTCCAGGGTATGTAAGACGTTGTTTTCCTTAAGCAAATAATTTAAATATAATACAGGGTGTCTGCCAATATTCAAATATGGATTTCCCTGACTTTTCCCTGATTCTCAAACTGTATATATATATATATATATATATATATATATATATATATATATATATATATATATATTATATATATATATATATATATATATATATATATATATATATATATATATATATATATATAATAGGATTTAATGTATCTATATAAGGTGTATTGGCTATAGCCAATGATTCTATGCCATTGCTTAGACCAATTAGCTCCTGATCATTACCAATAGCATGCGGTAGAGGTAGAGTCTCTGCTGATGTTTAGGTTCATTTTATACATGCATTTTACATACTAAATGTTATTATATTACCCTCACATATATAGATTAAACTCAATTATTAACTTAAGCAGCTTTTGCCATCAGTACATCACTAATCACTCTCTCTCTCTTTCTCTCTCTCTCTCTCTCTCTCTCATATATATATATATATATATATATATATATATATATATATATATATATATATATATATATATATATATATATATATATATATATATATATATATATATATATATATATATATATATATATATATATATATATATGCATATTATTTATGGAATATTACTCTAAACAACATCCACATTATTTTAAAATGAAAATTAAATTTATTTGAATTAATATAAATAAATAAAAAGAAAATTAATTATAACTTTAAAAATAAAAAGATATTGATTATTGATTAGGATACATAGTTTATCCGTTGAAATGCAGTATTTTCTTTTTTTGAAAAGGTAGATGTCATCTTAGACTAGATATATTATTTGTCTTTGCAAATATCTAAAAAATATCACAAGTAAAAAACACTGTCTCAATTCATCTCCGAAAAATTTGCGCAAAACAAACAACTGAAGATCAAAAGAGATTATATGAAAATTTAATTATAATTTAACTTATTAAGAACTTAGCAAGATCTTAATAAGATTTGTAGTTTTTTTCTCACATTTATTTCTTATTAAGATCTTAGCAAGATATTTTAAGATCTTTATAAGATTTATAAATTTTTCCTGTCATTTATTTCTTAAAAAGATCTTAATAAGATCTTAATTAGATCTTAACAAGTTATTCAAAGAAATATTTCTGACTTCCTGTTAGTTCCTATTTATGTAAGATAAGAAAGATCTTACAGATCTTATTAAGATTTGCAAGATTCGTCGCTCTGGGTTACAAGTCAACAATCAAAGAGGCAATCAAGCTGAAGGAAGAAATAATTTCAAAGTTGCATATGGAAAGTTGGTCCTTACACTTTGATGGCAAGCACATCGACAGAATGGATTATCAAGTGGTTGTCCTTAAAAATTAAAGAAGAGAAATCAAATTGGATATCCTTGGTTTGGTAGATGGCAGGACTTTAACTATTGCTTAAGAAATTTTTAAATTACTCAATGAATTTTATCTGTGGAATTCAATACAGATGATTGTTGCAGATACCACCAGCGTTAACACTGAAAAAAAGAAAGGTGTTGTTGTAATATTGCAACGAATATTCACAGAGAAACACATCAACAAACCTCAGTTTATCAGTTGTTGTATTATGTATTAGATAGAATCCTCTGTTTGGTGATGGATAAATAAATTGGAAGCAAAACACAATCAACAAACATCAAATATCCATTTGTATCTCATTTGTTGAAGGAGTACAAACAACTGAAAACACAGTTTGATAACGGAACAGAAGTAATTCTCGAAATATTAGGCTTTCATCTCACTTGAGTGTTTTGATTTTTTGAGGGCATTTTCCATTGATAAGGTTTCAGAAAGTAGCCAACATAAGCAATGTGAGGTGGAACTCCAGAGCTAGACTAGTGATCCTGGCCTTCATTTTCTTTCCTTCAACAAGAACAGTTCTGCAGACTGTTGATTTATATTGTATGTATGGTTTACAGACCAATAAAAACGACTTTAATAACTTGGCTGAAATACTGAATCCAAACAAAAAGGCTTTAAGCTCTTTGAAAAATCACTAGAAGCAAGAGCCATTCATACTACAAATACCCAGAAGTAATCAATGCACAGAGCGACCAATCAATGTAAAGGAGGAAATTTATTCATCATGCAAAAATAAAGACAAATTGCACCTTCAATTCCTTCTGTGTAACAAGCAAGGGCAAGGTCAATGGTCTGAGTCATTGTTGGATTGAAAATTTATTGTATTACATGACTATGACTTAAATGTTTTAAAAGGTGTAATTTGATATGCTTTAGGTTAAACTTAAGATTTTAAAAGTGTTGCCCATTTGTTGCCTTTATGAAAGACAGCATATGTAATACCCTTAAAATTTTACACCCTTGTTTAAAATTGTTAGTAGTTTAATTTTTTAAACTGGTTCTCAAATAAATATTTATTTTTAGCTAGTTCTCATAAATTTACAAAAATGTGAAAAGTTTAAAATGTTACATTTGTTATGAGATTGATGCAGTCTTGCCGCCTGATTGTTGCAAACTTGTCAACTTGCAAACTTGGCTGGTACAGTCTTTTTAGGCCTTATGTCTAATAGTAATAACCAAGGTAATAATTATATTGATGACCTGAACAATCTAAGATCTTAAACAAATAAACATAACTAGTTTAAAAAAGTTCTTTGAGTAACAGTTCTTAATAGTTTGAAATAGAAACCTCAAATCAAAATTATGTCATCCATTGCAAACAGTTGTTTGTTGTATTATGCTAATTGTTTTAGTATGAGATTTTTTAATATCAATATATTGATATTAAAAAATTGAGGAAAAAGAGTTGTTTTGACTATAGATGAATATAGAAGGAATGGTGGGTGGGAGGTGAATATAGAAAGAATGATGAGTGGGGGTAAATATAGAAGGAATAGTGGGTGGGGGTGAATATAAAAGAAATGGTGAATGAAGGTGAATGTAAAAGGAATGGTGGGTGGGGAAAATATAGAAGGAATAGTGGGTGGAGGTGAATATATAAAAAGTTCTTGTTACTATTATTATTAATATTGTTATTGTTATTATGCTTGTAAACACAGATAATAATAAAAGTATTACTATTATCATTATGTTTATACACATAATATTACATACATACATACATACATACATACATACATACATACATACATACATACATACATACATACATACATACATACATTTTTTAAAAGAAAAATTTACTTTTAATGGATTTTCAAAGAATTTCACTGAAGTTTAAACTTATATATCTGCTTTTCAAATACTCATTGTTTAATTAAGTTTTTTTTCCTATTATTTACATTAAAAATGAGTTTTATATTGAATTTAAATTTATTTTATTCTTTTTTTCTCCTCAAGTTATTGGTTTAGACTATTACTATGGTTAATAATAATATATAATATATAGCTCTAATAGAAATATAAACTGTATATAGGTAGGATAAACATTTTGTAAAAAGACATAAATGGTTTTTTTCTAAGAGGTATAATATTAATCTTACCCTGTATTTATATAAAATCTGATATGTATTTATTAATGATGCAATATGCTAACTTACAACTCTTTAGATTAGATATTTGAATATACATTATTTAAATATAAAAATGGTGCTAAATGATGCCAATATAGTAAGAATTATTGAAATATTTGACTATTGAGATACTGCAAGCAAGTACCATAACTGATTTTCTGAAAAGTTATAAGAATACAGGAGAAACAGCTCACTGATCCGGCTCATGTTGAAAGTGATAGTAAATGTATTGCTCAATCTGCCCTTAAAAATTGCCACATTTTTATAGATGAGATAAAAACAGAAACTCATCATTCAGTTTGGATGTAAAAAAACTACTTTATCTGATCTTATCTCATCTGTAGAAATGATTTTTAAGGACAAAATGAACAATATTTTTCTCTTCTCTTTTTTTAGTTTTTCTCTTTCTTTTTGATCAATATTTATGGGCTGTTTCTCCTGTGTTCAATGTGAAACTCATTATGAATGTAAACAACAAGATAAAAGAAACAAACAATAACTGTTCAAAAAGCGGACTTAAAAAATGGGTTTAAACTTCAGTAAAAATTTTTTCAAAACATAAAAGTAAAAGTACGTATGCATATTTCAGGTTAGTTTACCTAAAGATTGTTTGGATAGCTCATTTTGCAAAATATGCAAAAAAATACTTGGTTCAAAAGTTAATTTTCGAATAATGACAAATGTGAAAGCAGGGTACTTAAGAGCAGCAGCTGGTTTTTATGACATCAGAATTTATGATAATTATCAATTTTCAAAGCTTGAACTTTTTGCAGAAGTATAATCAAATTTTTTTAAAGTTGTTTAATTAAAATAATAATATATAGTTAACTAAATTTATACTTTTACAAATTAATATAAGTATTTATTTTAGATTGTGTGCTAAGTGTTTATTAATAGGTCAAATTTTTTATGTAAAGGTTAACACAACATCAAAGCAACAAACACTTGGTTTCAGAGCAGAGGTTAGAATACCTATTAAAATTGGAGAGGTTGTAGTTGATGGTATGATTATGGACAGAAGTTTAACATTAGGTGGCATAATAAAACATGAAATAGGCAGTGAAGACATTAGCGGGTCTTTATACATGAGTGGCATGTGGTATCATGCATTTGGATTGAATTGGCTAAACATTGGCAAAATAAGTCTTGGGTAATTGCACTATGATTTAATTTTTTTAGTTCAAATTTAAAATATTGTAAAATACCTTCTACTTTTTTTTTCAAGTATAACAATTACACTTGGTTCACCTATTCCAGTTACTGGATTTCAATTTGGGGGGCAGTTAGAATTTGGAATTAACTGCCTATATTATGCTGATTTTTATGAAACTGTAAGTGTTATTAATATAAACTAACTTTTAAAAATTGTTTTAAAGACCGAAAAAAGTTGAAAATCTTTCTTTTTTAAAGTTTTTTATTATTTTATAGACTGCTTGCCCTAACTAAACCCTCAGTCGATGTAGCCACACTTTCTTGCACCAGCAGGCTATAAGATAGTCAATGTAGCAACACTTTGCGCATGTTGTACAGTAAAAAAATAAAAATAAAAACATTCAGAATGTTTTAATTTTTAAATTAAATGAAAACATTTAGTATATTTTTAAAAACTTTAGAAATGTTTTTAAAATCTTTCTAGTCTTTTAGTTTGCATTTTTGTCTTGCATAGAGTTTAACAAAATTTAATACTTTGAATTTAAATTTTGAGCAGATAGCACAAAATAATTTGCCTTCAATAATTTGTGCAGAATTTTTATATATCAAAAAAGTATTGATTTGTAATTTTTTTTTTTAATTTTTTTTAACTTTTCCAAACATATTTGGTAGAATTAGGTAGCAACTCATACTTATTTCAAAGCAGTGTTGTAATCCATTGTTACACAGTTAAGTTTAAAAGTTAGGTAAAAAAAGATTTTTCCTTTTATGTCCAAAACTATTTAAATGTCTAAAACATAGTTCTTCACTATACTGTTTAAATTGTCTACTATTTAAATGTCTAAAACATAAATCTTCTATTTTCCACTATTTAAATGTCTAAAACATAAATCTTCACTATACTGTTGTATAGTGGCCAAAAACATCTTTTTTATTATAAATATTTTGGCTACTGACGTAATATTCAGTAACTGTATGTAAAAGGATTTTATTAACTTAAATGTAAAACAACCTTTATAAAATTAAAGTTAGTCAAATTTTTTTAATGCCATTTTTTGATTTTATAGGGATAGGGATCCTATATCATATATGTATATATGAATTACTAAATATAATATATATATATATATATATATATATATTTATATATATATACATATATATATATATATATATATATATATATATATATATATATATATATATATATATATATATATATATATATATATATATGTATATATATATATATATACAGGGGTGGGACCGCAAAATGTGAACGTTTTTGTTTTATTATAACTATTTTCTCGTTAGATGTAGTTGAGTTTATTTGATAAAAAACGAAAGACAAAGTACTAATGAATATGTAAACAAAGTCGCAACACTTATAAACATGCCGTCTTCAAAATATAAATTAATTCCAAAAAGCCGTATAATTTCAATGATCATGGATAAATTTAGTTACAGACGAATCAAAACCATATTAAACAAAGAAGGAATCGATGTATCAATTGGTTATATAAGTAAGTTAAAGAATGAGATTACTTTAGACCACCAAAAAATTGCAAATGATCAAATAAAGAAGAAACGCCACGTGCCGCCATTAAAGCTCTCAAGTACTCAAATTCAAAAACTCAAAAGATTGGTTTTAAAAGACTCATGCCCATCAATTTCACATCTTGCACGATTGTTTGGTGTGTGCAGAAGAACAATTAACAACTATATCAAAAAAAGATTCAAATTACACAAATTCAAAAAGCAAAAAGTTCATGATTTGTCTCCGGCTGCTAAAGAAAAGAGGTTTCAAAGATCTGCTCGTTTATCAAATTTTATAAAGAGAAATTGGCGAAAAATAATAACAACAGACGAGAAACTATTCCACATTTCAAATTGTAATCAAGAAAATGATTATTATTATAGTAGAGATAGAAAAAACATTCACAAAAAGTTTAAAACAAGACCTAAAAGTTTTTCGAAGGCAATAATGGTATGGGCCGGAATTTGTTATAATGGAACCACAAAACTTAAATTTGTTAAACAAGGTGTTAAAATTAATGCAGATTGTTATATTGATAACATTTTAAAACCATTTTTCAGTGAAGATTGCAAGCGTTTATATCCTAAAAAAGATTTCATATTCCAACAAGACTCGGCGCCGAGCCATACATCTAAAAAGACAATTTCATTTTTAAACAACAATAGAATCAAATTCATTCCACCTGAAATGTGGACACCATTTAGTCCAGATAACGCTCCAATGGACTTTTGTATTTGGGGATATATGCTTGAAAAGTTAAAAGATCGAAAAGTAAAGACAATCGACGGCTTGAAACGCCACATTATTGACATATGGAAGAACATCCCTCTCTCACTCATCAGAAAGTGTCTAAAGAGTTGGTCTAAACGTTGTAAAATGATCTACGAGAATCAAGGAGGTCAAATTGAACATTTAAAATAGTTCATATTTAACAGAAAATTAATTATTACAATCAGAAAAGTGTTCACATTTTGCGGTCCCACCCCTGTATATATATATATATATATATATATATATATATATATATATATATATATATATATATATATGTATATATATATATATATATATATGTATATATATATATATATATATATATATATATATATATATATATATATATATATATATATATATATATATATATATATATATATATATATATATACAATATATATATATATATATATATATATATATATATATATATATATATATATATATATATATATATAATTACAGCATAGCTTTTTTTGACTATTTAATGTCCTAGGTTACTCTTCTACAAAAAGTTGAGTTTACATTTGTATTGCAATTGCATTGCAAGTTCCATGCAGCATTGTAGTTATAATAAAACTGATAGATAATGATTTAATAAAACACATGTGCAAGATGACAAAAAAAGTTAATTGTTTTGTTTTTAGTTTTTCTGCTGTCAAAAAATTGTTTATTTAACTTTTTATCAAACCTGTGCTTACTCATTTTAGAAATAGTTTCATGTTATCTTAATGCTACAAGTATTGGCTTCACTCACTTTACAGTAAACAAGCTAAAAACAAGTAAAAAAGTTTAAAAATACCATAAGCAGTTTGAGATTTTCTTGAAACTATTTTATACTAAAGTTAATGCGGCGCTATGGAGGGAAAAGCTTTTTTTTTTTTTAATTTTTTATTGGTTGATAATGCAATAGTTTTTACATTTATTGTTAGGGACACTGTATGCGAGTTCAGATATTATTTGGGTATGGAAAACCAACATATTTTTATGGAAACATTTCATCTCTAACTATCGGAAAACTTGTTCGCATGTGTGGAGGAAGAGCAGCTTTACCCGATAGTGTAAACAATGCAGGTTTTCCTAAAGGGTTAATGGTAAATGAGACACTTTGTGTCTTTTGTATCACGAAAATATACTTTTTATTATTATATTAAATAAATACTTTATTAAATAAATACTTTATTAAACAAATAGAAATGACTAGTCAGGTTATATTTTCTTTAAATAAACACAACAAACTTTTCCTGCAACAACATTTTAAAATGTTAAACACATGTTTTTACATTTTTTAAATTATAAACATTAACTTTTAGGTATCATACAATGCTGGTATAAATCCAATTGACCTTGGTTTTGTTAATGGACCTGTTATACCAGATGGTTTTCAATTACAAGGTGTACTCAATCTGTTTGGTTATTCAATTTCAGCCCATATCAAATACAGTATTAGAGTAAGTCATGTTACATATATTTAAATTTTTAATGTTTTTCATTTTTAAAACTTTGAAATTTTACTTATCGCAAACAATTTTTTTACAGGAATTTTATATTGACGGTGATCTGGATCCAATAAATTTAGGTGGTTACATAATAATGTCAAGAAATGAATCTTATTTAAATATTGGACCAAAACTACACTTTGCTTACAAAAGTTCTCTTGAAGCAAGTAATTCAAATGCTACTAATACACCCCTGTGGAAAAAAGTCTTCAATATGCCTTATTGGAAGGTATAAAGCTTTAATTACAACAAATAAAAAAAATTTCTGATTTAGCATTAGACAATTTTTTGAGGCAAGATAGTTAATTGATTTTAAATTATTCTTAAAAATGGTAAGTAAGGAACGTCAGTTCCTCTCTCATTTTTTCATTATAACTGATAATTGTTTGTTTATGTTGATATTTGCTAAAAAAACAAAAAATAAAGTGAAGCAAGTACTGCCTGTCAATACTTTGAAGAAAAATGATTAATTGTTAATCTGTTTTCCCACCTCATAATATGTTTTATTTTACATTTCATTTTTAAACGCTAGTTCTATACATACTGCATGTCACAGCACTTGTTACCAAGGTACTTGAAAGGTACTTACAAAAGAATATTATCTCAATAATTTTTATATCTAGCTAATAATGGAATAAATAATCTGAGTTCTTTTTTTTTTCTAATTGTTGTTTAGAAATAAAGAATTGATTAAATTAAAAACTGATCATTATCATTTTGCTTTCTAAAACTAACTGCTATATGAGGATCATATATTTAACAATAAGTTAGTGAAGTATCTGGATTACCAACCAGATTTGGATTTCTGGATTTGAACTTAAATTTGCTGCCAGATGGAAAACATTAAAAAAAAATTTAGCATTCTTCTTAAGTAGCAAGCAATATTGGCAAAATATTGTTTATTTAGTTTATACAAAAAATATTCAGCCAATAGTGTATGCCACTCTGAATATAAAAAAATGCTACTACTTTAATGCTACTCTGTTTACATGAATATAAAAAAATATCTAGAGGTTTTTTGTATGCACAAATTTCATTAAAAGTTCAATAACAAAAAATTAAAATTTAAAAACAAAAATAATCAAAAATTGATAATAGTTTTGATGCTTTTAAAAAAAATGATTCATGTAAAAAATCAATTAGAAAAATTTATAAAGAAGAAGAAGAAAAAGCATTTTAAGTAAAATCAAGTAAAAAAAAATATTTTTGATAATGGTAATACAATACATCAACTTTTTAAACTTTTAATATTATAATTTAGTATTATAATTTTATAATTTCAGTGTTATAAAACTTGTAAGTTTTATAAATCCTTGTTAATGTTAAATTTTTTTAATATCTGGTGTTTAGTGTGACAAGATTTTTAGACAAGACAATTATAAAAAATAAAAAAATTATTAAATGTATAAAAAAAGTACAAGAAAAGTAATAACAAAATCGAAATCAGGAATTAAAAAATGTTTGATATGAAAAACAACTTAAGAACTGATTAAAATGATATGAGTAATTTAATCTTGATCAGTATTTTTTTCTTTACTTTATTACTTTTTATGTAAATTCACTTCGGCTGAGAAGGCCTCTACAATCAAGGAGGCTACTTTAATTGTTTATCAACCCTCTTTCAACTCTACACAAATCTTGACAAACAAGGCTGTTTTGTGAAGAAACAAGTTGAGTGAGGTACTACCAGAAAAGTGGTGGGGATTGAACTCAGAATTTCTTGTTAAAGTTAAATTTTGAACTTTAAATATTTTCAAGAATAATGATTGTTTAAATTTTTTTAAATAGACAAAGGACATTATATTTCAAACTTTGATAATTTTCAGTTTTCAATTCAAGGGACTTTTTTATGGTACCACTATATGTGAATATTAACTTTTAAGTTTTAGCTATACAAGATAACTCTTTTTGGGATGGTAAAAATGTTTATTTAGACATTTTGGAAATGAAAAAGCAAATGGAGAATTTTCATCAGATGGAGATTTTTCATTTAATGGAGAGAAAGCTTATGGATTTTTCTAAAGTTAAATGCCATATATGATGAAACATGAACAATATTTTTTTCATTTTTTAAGTGTGCAAGGCAATCGAAAAATAAAAGTTTTCCTCAAAATTTTTTGTTCATTCAAGCTGATTCTGGATGGAAAAACCAATGCTCTTTTAAAAATTATATTAAAATAGTTGACAAGATGTTGCAAGTCCTGTTTTCATAATCTTAGAGATTTTGGGAAAATCTTAAACAGCGTTGTACACAAGGGTAGGTCTAACATTCCATCTCTCTTTCATGAGGCTTTACTTATTACCCCTCCCAAGCATAAGGCAGAATAATTTGCAAAGTAATTTTCTTCTAATCTGACTCTCAAATCTTATGGTCATTCTTTCTTCTATTCCAATTAAACAGGTTAACCCATTGTTAGACATTCAGCTTTTGTTGCTAAAGTTATCTCTCAAATAGAAACTTCTATTGTTTGTGGTCCAGACAACATTCCTGTCATAGTCTTATAAAAGTGTTCTCCAGAACTCACTTCAATTCTCTCTAAGCTATTTAATAAATGCTTGACTGAGTCTTGGTTTCCTGCCTGCTGGAAAATGGCATCTATTGTTCCAATTTTCAAAAATCTCAGGTGAACATTCTGACCCCTCTAATTATTGTCTAATCAGTCTTCTTTATATTATAAGCAAGGTCTTTAAGTCTTTGATCAACAAAATTCTCACATACCACTTTGAGTCAAATAACTGTTATTTGAGTTACTTACAAATTAGTTACAAATTACTTGAGATAAATAACTTATAATCAATACGGTTTTCAATCCTCTCACTATGGCTGACTTGCTATCTGCTGTGACTGAAAATTTTTATCATACATTAAATGGAGGCAAAGAGGCTAGGACTATTACTCTTGAAATATCTGTAAGGCTTCTTCAAAGTTTGGCATGCTGGTCTTTTCCATAAGCTTGTTTCATATGGTGTACCTGGGAAAGTTTTTGAGATTATCAAATTGTTTCTTACTATCGCTTAGAACAGGCAGCTGATTTTGAATCTGATTTTACTTTTGTAACAGATTGGGGCTCACAGTAGCTTGTATATTTTAACTCCAAAAAAACTCAATTATTTACCGCAAACAAGTATTGCAATACTGTTGACATTCCTATATTAATAATTGGCAACCCTCTCACTGAGTTCTCCTCTTTATGTCTTCTCGGATTATCACTCATGGAAACCATATATACAATGGATTTCTAAATTAGCATCCGCTAAGGTTGCTTCTTATTATTGTGCTTGCCATTATCATACTCCTAATTCCATTCTCTACCTCTAAAAATCTCTTATTTGTCTCTGTATGAAATACTATTGTCATGTTTTTTGTCATTAAACTGCACATCTTTTTTTTTTCTACAAATAGTATCGTGAGTGTTGCTCAAAGAAGCTATCTTTTTTAGTTCCATCAACAAAAACTCATTCTTGTTTGACTTGTCACTCAGCAAAGTCTCATTCTTCTACTGTATCTGTCTTTGCATACTCTTAAATCTTTTATTTGTCTAGTTTTATATCCCACACATCAACACTTTGGAACTCTCTCCTATCTTCATGTTTTCCTGACTTATACAACCTTTAACTTTTCAAGTTCAAGGTTGATGCTAATTTAGCAATCCATTGTATCTATGGTGTTCATGAAATTTCAGTAGTGAGCAATAATCCAAGAAGACATAAAGAAGAGGACTTAGTGAGAGTGTTGCCATTCATTAATATAGGAATGTCGACAGTATTGAAATAGTTGTTTGCAGTAAATAACTGAGTTTTGCTGAAGTTAAAATTCACAAACCACCACAAACCCCTGTTACAAAAATGAGATCTTCAATTCTCAGAAGTGAGGTATTAAATCATTTGTTAAATTTTTTTTTATCTATTTTTAATCTCTATTTTGAAAATATTGATCTATCTGATCAAGATCATCTAAAATCAAGATTTTTTTGTTCTTTATAAAATTTTACACCTTTATAAATTTAATTTTATTAAGTACAGCTATTATAATTAAGTAAGTTAAGAACGGTCAAGTTAAAAATGATAAAGATTAGAAATAAACTACAATTTAACATGATAAATGACATGGTTAGACTCTAATGTTTATTAGCCTAACTATTTTTATTTATAGGCCTGACTTAAATAAATAATATATTTTTAAAAAGTCTGAAATATGTTATTGATATAAAATATTTTATTGAAAATATATTATTGTTTGTATTTGCTATAATAATTGAGTATACTTTTCGTGCATGTTTGTTTCAATATCCACTTTTTTTTCTCAAAATTAGTCTTGCCTTAACTTAGGATAGAAAATTACTTTTTGATCTTTACATTTTTACATTTTCTTACTATTGATCAACTAATTTCGGTAGTGGTGTAGTAGTACAGTACTCGCCTCATAAGCCTCATAAGTTCTAGATTCAATCCCCACCAGATCCCTGGTAGTACCGTGCTCAACTTGTTTCGGGTTACAACCACAGTTAAGTAGCCTCCTCGTTTGTAGTGGCCTCCTCGGCCTTGGGGAGGTGAAATTAAATTAAAAAAAAAAAACTAATTTATTGTTATTGTTTTTTTCTAGATTTATTTTGAAGGTTTTGTCAACATTCTTGGAATCAAAGCTTCAGTTTTCTTAAATGTTAGTAAAACTGAGTTAGAGATGTACATCTATGGAAAAGTTTTAAATCTAATATATGCAGAACTCTATGTTGCTAGTACATATGAAAACCAGAGTATCAGTAATATGGATTTTTACATTAGGGCCATTGTTGATCTAAAAGGTTTAACTGATGTGAGTTTTTAAAATGATGTTAATTAGAAAATATATTTTATTTAAATATGTTTTTACATTTATTGTTAATAGTATACTTAAATTCTATATTGTCAAAACATATTACATAAACATTTATTATCAAGTTAACAGTGGCATCAAGTAACCTTTACTGGCTGAAAAAACTTATGTAGGGTATTTTAGAGAAAGTCTAGTTTTACATTAAAATTATTTAAAAAAGAGAATAATAAAGTTATATATTTATGTTATACTTTATTATGTTATGTTATACTCCTTATTGTTCAGTCATCAATTATTAAAAGAAGTGGCATGGTGTGCATTTGACATTTTTTATAAAAGATATGTTACTATATGGATAAAACTCTGGTACAAATTAATTTAACAGTTCTAATAGTTTGTAACAACCTGATAAAAACTGTTAGAGCAAAACAATTTTTTATAATTTTTTTTTATAACAACAAAAGTAAGAAAGAACAAATGTAAAAGTAAGAACTAAATTTTTTTTTAAAGTAACATGTTATATTTTTCAAAAATTTTTTAAACTTTTTTATCATATTTGTCTTTGCTATTTTTATAGATTTCTATAGAAAAATATATGTGTGTGTATATATATATATATATATATATATATATATATATATATATATATATATATATATATATATATATATATATATATATATATATATATATATATATATATATATATATATATATAGTATATATGTTACTGTTACCCGCAGTACCAGGAATTAACTAAATGCTAATGTTTATAATATAATTTAATATTGCAACTCTAAGTTTCATGTGTTATCACAATCACCAGGCAAGTAGTAAAAGTTTAATTTTCAAAGCAAGCAAAAGGTGCTCGCTTTGCCTGTTTGAGAAATTTGCTATTATATTAAATCCAAAACCTGAGGAACTGCTAAATAAAAGAACCAAAATTATATAAGTGCCGCCACAAAAATCTAATTAATATATATAATCTCTAGGCTAACTAATAAATTACTCATATACACAGCTATTGTATTATACTATTTTATATCAATTTTTAATTTATATTTTTTCAATATATAAGTAATGCACATTATCATATAAACAAATATTTTAAACACCATTAAACATTTATTTATTTCACAACCACTAACTAAAAACAAATTAATAATATTATTAAACTAATTATTAATCAATTTCCATCCTGTAACAATCCAAAATACAAATATAAACTGTAATGTCCACTAAACTAAAAGTAACAGGTTGAAAACTTCCCTGATGATTGTGGTAACACATGAAATTCAGAGTTGTAATAATAAATTGTATTATAAACATTAGTATTTAGCTAATTCCTGGTACTGCGGGTAACATATTTTACAGCGTGTCACTTACAAATGGTGTTATCTTTACAAACAACCCATCGTTTTCTTATCTCCTCAAAAAACATTAATATGATTGTTTAAATAATAACATATTGTTATTACAGTAATTAATAAACCCTTTTGATACTATACATATGCTGCAAGTAGAAATGTCACTACATTGACTAAGGTTTTTGGATGTGGCATCAATCTTTTCTTTAATTATTCTTTGCTTTTTTCTTCTTTTTCTGAAAAGCCATATGTTATAAAGGTAAGCAAAATAAGTAAGCAATTATTGATTTATTTACTCTATAGTAGATATATACAAGTACATGTGTATATATATATATATATATATATATATATATATATATATATATATATATATATATATATATATATATATATATATATATACTCTTGCTTGTTTTTAATTTTATATATTGTCAGATCAAGGTAGTCGATGTAGCAGCACTCTCTTGTAGCAAAAGATTAAAAGATAGTCCATGTTGCAACACTGTCTTTTCATTTGCATTTTTGTGGTTTATATATATATATATATATATATATATATATATATATATATATATATATATATATATATATATATATATATATATATATATATATATATATATATATATATTGACTTGAAGAGGCTTAAGAAACAAATTAAAACTATATGAAATTTTCTATTTTAAGTTTTTATTGACATCAGTAAACAAGTGTAAAATGAGCATGTGTTTATATATAGCTGATAATTTTGTTAGTTATATTTTATTAACTTTTATCTAATTTATTTATTCTGCTTAGGACCGTCAAAATAAAAATCAAAACGTTTACTGAGCAATAAAATCCAAATAATTTTCTCTGACAAAATTATAAGAAACTAAAAAACTTGTGTTCTTAAAATCAATTTTACTTATTCATGGGTGGTTATTAGGGTGGTAGGGTGGTTGCAAATCTTTAGGGTATTTTACAATGTATCTATGACAATAACTTTTAAAAATTGAAGTCAAAAAATTGTTTTGAAAAATTTCAATTTATGGATAAAGTAAAACATGCTGTTTATCAGTACTTAAGTGCTTAAAAAAAAAAGTGGAAAGTTTGAAAACATTTAATCCTTTAAGAAATATTGGTCTTAATTGTTAACATCTGGAATGTATAAAATGAATTAAAAACTTAAACTTGTTGAAGAATTTGAATTTGAAATCCAAAAAAAGAATTCAAAAAAGTTGATAAATTTTTTTAACTTATTGTTGTCATCATAAACATGTTTTATTCAAATACAATAAATGATTCACTAGTTTTGAAAGTGTCACCTTTGAAATATCTCCATCAAATTTTTATGTATAGATATTACGTAAAAAGTTTTCAATTTTAGCTTGGATTTTATTATCTTTAAAATCATAATACGAAACCTTTATGGAAACAATAAACAAATACTTCTAATAGCACCTGTGTATCATGGAGATATACATAGATATAATCTGACATCATGGAGATTTAGTCTTTATTGAATTTTCATTTATAGATTGTCTCCAAAAATAAAAATTCTTATAGATTGGCTTTAACTAGTGTGATGTACTAAAAGTGCTTGCACCGTATTTAATATCAATATCACAATTACAACCATATTTTATTATCATAGAATCTTACATTCTAACTTTAACTATCTAGACTATTTAATAATAAGTAGAAAATCAATTATGATATTATTAATTGTTATTAATTTGAATTTTAATATGAATTTCTTAATTATACTTTCATATTTATTACTTTATCACATTTATTTTTTAAATTACCTCTAAGTTTTTTTTTATGTTTCTATTTTTTGTTTTACATTCATTAATCTAAATATACAGAATCTTTATTTAAGTTATTTTACAATTAGATTTTTTATAACACTTCTTTACTTTTTATAAAGTTGTTTAAGAAATTTTGAAATTATGTAATATGAGTTGTAACAATAATTAAAAATATAAATTGTTTTTATTTGTTTGTTACAATTTTGAAATGATTTAAGTTCCAAGGTTTATGCAAATAAACAAATATATTGTTTGTATGTTTACAATATCATGTTTACCCTAATCCTGAGTAAACTAATTTAATATATAATATATAATAATAATTTTAAAAAAACAATTAAAAAAGTAAGTTCAATGTTAATCTTTACTTTATTTAATAAATTTAAATTTAATGATTAAAGTATAGATTAATATAATTAATAAAAGACTAAATAACATAAGCCATTTAGATTAAAATTATTAATTTTTAGTCATTATTAACTAATATACATTATTAATAATAATACATTATTTATCATAGTGTTTGTCATCATAGTGTATCTTTCATCATTACAGGCGATTGAGAGAGCAAGAAAAGCTGTTAATGATGCATTTGTTTATGCTCAAAAGAAACTTTTATCTGCAGTTGAAGATGTCAAAGCAGCAAAAATTAAGTGTAAAGAAAAACTCAAGATTGACTGTGCTAATTGCTATGCATTAAAGTGCAAAGAAGCTCAGAATAATTGCAAAAATTTTCTTGATTCAGCTGGAAAATGGATTGGAGGTCAATTCAACAAGTTTGGTAAAAAAGTTCATTTTCTATATTTTCTATATTTTACACATTTTACACGTTCACATTTTCTATAATAAAATAGTGGATTTAAATCATTTATATGACTAAAAGAGCAACCCACAGTTGATTATTTTAAAGTTGTTATCTTTTAATATTGTTTATTAATGTAGGACAATTTTTCCATTTATAATGTAATTGTTTATTTTTATTAATTGTTTAATAAAGTTGCGGGGTAAAGCACAAGTGGCAATGACGTTTGTCTGATGGGATAAACTAGTTATAAGTGCTGATCCTCATCGAAACGCCTGTAATAATAGGCGCGACTCTGAGGAGATGTTTATTACTTTATCACTACATTAATTATGTTTACACATTAGCATTAATGTTCTTTTTCCATTCTAAGGCCTTACATTGTTGTATCCATATTTTTTGTTTTTGTTTTTTTATTTTTTAAGTTTTTTGTTTATCAATTTTTTGGTTTTTTAAAAAAATTTTTATTTTGGTTATATTTGTTGTATATCTTCGTACGTACTAGTTTTTATATGATACAATTTTTTGTTATTGTTATTGTGAGTACTGCTTGGATGTGTTGTCTGTCTTACTTGTTTTGAAATTTTCCTCTATTAATCTTTATTTTTGTCTTGACAACTGTCAAAATATGCTTCGTTTGATAAATAATTCTTCTTTATTCTAATGTACTTCATTTCTTCCCTCGGGTGTTCACTGCTTGTGTGTGACCATTCGGCGAATTTTATATGCCAAAGTTTTTAAATATTATTTTAAAATTTCTTATTGTTTATTAATATAGGACAATGGGTGGCAAGCACAGCTCGTAAAATAGGAGATGGTATGGCAAATGTGAGTGCATTGTTAGATAATGTGTTTTTATTGATAAATTTTTTTTTGAAATAAGCATAGGTATATCTGGAAAGAAAAAAAATAAATTAATGAGACAAATTGTGATATTAAATTAAATGTAGGATATGTTATATATATATATATATATATATATATATATATATATATATATATATATATATATATATATATATATATATATATATATATATATATATATATATATACAGTGTCTCATAATATTATCCGACCAAACAAGTTCTTCTCAAAAAAAAATGTTTAAAAACAATGAACAAATGGCTAAAAACAATGAATAGCAATACTTACTTTGTCTGTCATTTTAACTCTATTTGGAATAGTATGTAATTTAGCATTCTTTTTTTTTGATTCATGCTTCAGCTGGTTTATTATTTGTCCTTAGTATTGAAAAGGCTTGTAAAAAAATTATCCGATTAAGCATATTTAGGTAAGTTTAATAAACTTTATGTGAAATTTGTTGAAATATTTTAGCAAATTTTTATACAATTAATGAAATTGCATAACAAAAAACTGTTTTTTTGTAGTAAAAAAAAAATTTTGTATAAAAAAAAGGTTTCATGTTTTTGTAAAGTAAAATGGTTGGAAGTAAACGTCACTGGACTGTTTCTCAGAGAAATTTAGTTGTCCATCTAGTCAATCAGGGTAAAACCTATTGTCAGGTGCAGCAATAGACTGGAATTCCTCATAATACAGTGTCTGACATAATGAACAAGTTAATTTGATTGGAACAACAGCCGCAAAAGAGGGACAGGGTTGCAAAAAAAAGACTTCTAAGAGTTTTAATTGAAACTTAATTATACAAGTCAAGAAAAATTGCTTCATTTCTGCTCAAAAACTAGCTGAGCAAGCTGAAAAGAATTATGGAATCAAATTATTTGATCAGACAATCAGAAGTTGTATCCGAGACCAAGGATTTCAAGAACGACTTGTGCGTAATAAACCATATTTGAGTAAGAAACACATGAAATGAAGATTGGAGTTTGCTAAGAAGTTCAAAAACATGCCGTTAAGTTTCTGGAAAAAGATGCTGTGGAGTGACGAATAAAAACTCAACTTAAAGTCATCTGATGGAGCCCAAAAATTTTGAAGAATAGTTGGAGAAGCCCACAAATTAGACTGCGTGAGAGGAACTGTTAAGTGGTGGTAATGTGATGGTATGGGGTTCAATGGCTTATAAGGGTGTCGGAAAACTCCAATTTATTGATACTATAATAGATCAGGTACAATACAGAAGCATATTAAAGCAAAATTTGAAGTCATCTCAAAAACATCGCCTGGGATCTGATTTTACATTTCAGCAAAATAGCGATTTTAAGGATAGTGCCACTAAAACTATGGAGTGGTTTGCTGAAAATAATGTTGAGGTCTTGGTATGGCCCCCACAATCACCGGACCTTAATCCCATTCATAATTTGTAGGAAATTTTAGACTGAAATATTTGAGATCGGTCATTTTCCAAAAAAGATGTCAATTGAAGAAACCTGGGAAAAGATTGGACCAGAAGAAGCAAAATCTTTAGTCAAATCAATGCCTAGACGTCTAGAAGCTGAAATCCAAGCAAAGGGAGGCCCTACAAAGTATTAAAATAATTGTTTTGTTATTTAATAATTTATTATGAAACAAAAAAAGTTTTTTGGTCGAATATTCATATTTTACTCTAAAATAAATAAAATCTATTTAAAAACATTTTTATTTTAACATTAACATACTTTTTAAATTTTTATTTTATTAACATTAACATACTTTTATTTTCATTAATCTTGAGTTTATCAAAAAAGTCTAAATTTACAAAAATACAGCACTTTTTTTAAGAAAAATATTTTTAACAATGTTTGGTCAGATAATTTTTTGAAACACTTTATATATATATATATATATATATATATATATATATATATATATATATATATATATATATATATATATATATATATATATATATATATATATATATATACATATATATATATATATATATATATATATATATATATATATATATATATATATATATATATATATATATATATATATATATATATATATATATATAGATAGATATATAGATAGATAGATAGATAGATATCTATATAGTGCGGTAGTGATGTAGTGATAGAGTGCTTGCTCCATAAGTGAGAGTTTCTGAGTTTAATCTCCACCACGTCCCTGGTAGTACCGCGCTCAACTTATTTTTCCATGCAGCAGCCTTATTCATAAAGGTTTGTGTTTCAGAGTTATACAGTTGCGAGAGGATTATAACCACCATGGAGTAGCTTGCTTGTCTGTAGTGGCCTTCTTGGCGTTAGGGAGTAGGGAGGTGAATTATATATATATATATATATATATATATATATATATATATATATATATATATATATATATATATATATATATATATATATATATACACATATATATATATATACATATATATATATATATATATATATATATATATATATATATATATATATATATATATATATATATATATATATATATATATATATATATATATATATATATATATATATATATATATATATATAATTCAAAACATTTTATTGTGAAAAATAAACTTTGCCATGTTATTTCAGAAAAACATGTTTTTGATAAATACTTTTATAATAATTCTAAAAGCCAATTTAATCACGATTTTTTATAGCAAAAAATTAGTCAACGGTAATTAACTCGCATTGCTAAAATTTAACAATTCCTGAAAAAGTTTCAACAAAAAATAATTCTCCCAACATATTGTTTTGTAAAGAAGTCTTAAAATAAATTATTAAAAAAGTTTTCAAATCAATAGTTTTAGAAATATTGTTGTTTTGCAACGATTAATTTTTAACAATTGACTAATATTTTTTTAAATTTATTTGATTTACCATTGATATCATCAATTATGGGAGTTAGAATCAAAGAATGGTCCCAAGCAAAATGGTTATTGACTTGTTCAAGCAAGGTAAAACATTTTGGTCGATAAATGAAAAACAACTGAAATGGCATTAGAAACCATCAGCAATCTAGTTAAAAAGTATAATATGTTTGGATATGTGCAAAATTAGCCAAGATTCGGAGCTAAGTATAAAACAACATCAAGAATAGATCAACAAATTATCAAAATGGTGCATAAAAACTGTTTTTTATCAGTACCAAAAGTGTCAAGCCTCCTTGAGAAAGATTTTGGGTTACAAGTGAGCTCTTGTACTATTCGAAATGGATTAAAAGAAATTGGATTCAAAGCAAGAGTTCCACGCAAGAAACCATTCCTTTTCAAAAATCCATTAAAAATAAAGGCTTGCATTTGCAGAAGAATATGTAAATATGTCGATATTATTCTGGAGGAAAGTTTTGTGAACGAACGAGACAAAATTTAATCTTGTGAAGTCCGATGGAGCTAAAAAAGTATGGAGAAAAAAAGGTGAAGCATTCACACTCAGTTGTATTTGAGGCAAAGTAAAATTTAGTGGAGGCAATGTTATGGTATGATTGACGACTTGGACGGAAACTTGAAAACTAGAGTTTATTGATGGAGAATTTATGGACTCTGAGGTTTATTTTAACATTCGCAATAAAAATCTTCGGCTTTCAACTAAAAACTGTGATTTGGAAAACATTTTATCTTCCAACAAGACAATTACCTTTAACATACATCAAAGAAAGCAAAAGAGTTTTTTATTCAAAAGCAAATTGAGTCACTTGATTGTCCAGCACAAAGTCCAGATCTCAATCCAATTGAACATCTCTGGATAAAAAATATGGCACATGATGTCTAAAAAAAAAGAAGAGCTAAAGATCATGTTCCAAGAAGCTTGGGTTGATATCGATACGACAAAGAAATTAGTTAATTTGATGCCATATTGAGTTGCAGAAGTCATAAAAGCTGTCCAACTCGATATTAAAAAGTCATCAAAATAATTACTTAGAGAAGCGTTAATTTTTAGGCCTTAATCTTTAAAAATTTTTTGGATACTTATTTAATGCTAAATGATTGCATAGTTTTAATGTATCCTTATTTTTTATCAATTAAATATTATTATTGATATTTTTTTTTGCATATGGAATTTGTAATTAAATTTTCTTTCAAAATAATCATTTTTTTTATATTTAAAAAGTTATTTTTTTCTGAAACAACCTGACAAAGTTTATTTTCCATAATAAAATGTTTTTTTTGGATACTTATTTCTCTAACTGTACATATATACATGCATATATGTATTTATGTATACATATAAATATATAAATATATATATATATATATATATATATATATATATATATATATATATATATATATATATACATATAAAAATGTATGTATGTATATATATATACATACATACATACATACATACATACATACATACATACATACATACATACATACATACATACATACTTACATTATAGTAACCTCTTATAATGTATAGTATCAAATTTTTTTTGCCAATCTCTAACAGTTTGCGGTCGGCAATTTATTGCCGACCTTTTTTTTCCTAATTCTGAGAGTTGATATATATATATATACATATATATATATATATATATATATATATATATATATATATATATATATATATATATATATATATATATATATATATATATATTTATATATATATATATATATATATTAGGGTTATGACTTTTTATCAACCCCATGCTCCTGTAGTGTAGTTTGATGAACTTTTACCTGAAAATTACAAAATTAATTATTGTTATCATATCTTTTCAAAAAAGTTCATTCTGCCATTGAAAATTTGATTTTGACATAAGTACTTGTATGTACTCAAATGTATGTAATACATAGTTATGTAATACAATAAATTTTCAATCCAACAATGACTCAGACCATTGACATTGCTCTTGCTTGCTGCACAGAAGGAATCGAAGGTGCAATTTTTTTTTAAATTTAGCATGATGAATAAATTCCCTCCATTACTTTTCTATCTAATTCATGGTGATGACAACTGATAAACTGAGGTTTGTTAAAGCATTTCTCTGTGAACATTTGTTGCAATATTACAACAACACCATTTTTTTTTCCAGTGTTAACGCTGGTGGTATCTGCAACAACCATCTGTATTGAATTTCATAAGCGAAATTCATCGAGGACTTGAGAAATTCCTTAAGCAATAGTTAAAGTCCTGCCATCTACCAAGCTAAGGATATCCAATTTGATTTCTCTTGTTTCATTTTGAAGGATGACTTGATGTGCTTGCCATCAGTGTAAGGACCAACTTTCCATATGCAATTTTGAAATTATTTCTTCTTTCAGCTTGATTGCCTCTTTGATTGTTGACTTGTAAATAGCTGATTGACATGGAGTTGGTTCGTCGATGCCTTTAGAAGCCAATTGTTTGCATATGTTAGCAGCTTTGTTTGTTAATACTCTTGTGGAGGTCACCAAGTTGACTGCAATTTTGCTATTATGATGTTTTTTGCTTGGTGTAGGAGTTTTCTTATCTTCTTCTTCATTGTTTTCATATTCACTGTTGTCAGTCTCAGAATCACTCCGAGGCTGACAACAGAATCAAAACCAGGATAGTAAGATGATGAAGTGGATGACTCATTAGAAAGTTTTTGTCTTTTAGAGGGATGGATCATTTCTTTGCTAGCCGCTTGGACTGTAGAGTATGCCACTGTTCCTTTGCTTTCCATCTGGAGATGGTACAATTGCTTGTCCTCGAATGATAACCATGTTCCATCCATTTTAGTAATATCCCCGCTTGACACATTCATCATAACATTTCAGTATTTTATCAAGCTTAGCTCGTATAACTTGATCAAATACATGAGAAAAATTCAGTTTATTTTTCCATAATTTGATGACTTCTTTCGAAATTTCTGCTGTTCCCTCCTTTCTTCCTTTGATTTTTTGGTCCAAGAAAATGGTAAAGTCTGATAATTTGCTTTTGGAGAGGCATTTTACACTTTTCTTCTAATGAATATTCTTTCAAAGCGACCATTTTTTTTTTATTAGTCTTTAAATTTTAACAGAATATTGGTTTAGACATCCGTGTTCTTCTAAATGCTACTATCGCTAGGCTTTTACGACGCCATGTGTTGCTTCTGTAATAAGTATAAAATAAGAGAAACAGCTATATATAGTCAAATGTTCTGGAATATTCCAGAATTTTCTAAATTTTTTCTAATAAAGTCTTCTAAAGTATTTTGTTATCTTTCAAAATATTCTAAAGTTCTAAACACTTCTAATCTATACAAGTTTTAAATGATTTTCAGGAAAGCTATATATATTAGTAATAGCAGTAACAAGATTAAATAAAGGATGAAATGTAATTTGAATTGCAGGGTGATCTTATTTTACAATCGAGAGAAATTGAACATGTTTTTAATGTTTTCTAATAAAAGTTCATCGATTTATGACACAGGAAATTAATTTATATATATATATATATATATATATATATATATATGTGTGTGTGTGTGTGTGTGTATATATATATATATATATATATATATATATATATATATATATATATATATATATATATATATATATATATATATAAACACACATTTATAAACATATATAGACATACATTCACACACAAATAGATAGGAAAATAAATAGCCTCTTTCTTTGGTTCCTGTTGACAAAGACTGGCACAACGCGATGAGCAATTTGATATTCATATTCAAAATAAGAATTTTGTAAGACAGATATTATGTGAAGGGGGGCCACTGCCCCTGTTGCCCCTGTGGACTTGGCACCTGTATGTGTGTGTATATATATATATATATATATATATATATATATATATATATATATATATATATATATATATATATATATATATATATATATATATATATATATATATGTATATATATATATATATATATATATATATATATATATATATATATATATATATATATATATATATATATATATATATATTTAAATACTCAAATAGATTGGAAGAAAAATTGCTTCATTTTTTGGTCGCCGTCGACGAAGAAATTTACTGGCGCAACGTGATGAGCAATTTGATATTCATATTCGAAATAAGCGTTTTGTAAGCAAGATATTATGTGAAGGTTTGGTTGGAGGAGGATGCAAAGGTTAGTTATGTCCTTTTTTTTTAAAATAATTAAGTTTCTGAAATTGTCTACTAACTTATAAAAAACTTTCAAAAACAATATAAATTATTTTGGTTTAAAAAAAAAATTGAAAAAAAAAAAATAAATAAAAACAATTCGAAATATCAGGATAAATATGAATAAATTAACAAAAAATAATAATAAAACAGTCAAAATCATTTTAAACTGATTTTTAATTTAAACTGAGTTTTGAATTATATATGAACTTTTACAGGATCATGCTTTTTTATTCTAGCTGTATCATATCTATGTCATGGCACTTGCAGCGCTGTCAATTTTATTGGGCAAGGATTATGCAATGTTTTAGATGTAGCTGTAGTAGCATTGAAAGCAACAGAGGTTGCTATGGGTTGGGTAAATTCAGCAATTCAATTTTTGATGCAAATGTTTTTAATTCATGGGTACTTTGCTTGTTAATCATTATTATTTATAATTTGTTATAATTTATATTAATAATTATGTTAATATTCCAGATTTTGTTTGCATTTATTTGACAAGCATCTAGGTACAACTTTGATACAAGAAGGGCATTACATAGAAAATTTCAAATAAAAGTTGTCCTAATTTTTTATAATTTGTTTGCATTTGATAAGCATGGGTATAACAATGATGCCAGTGATGGCGTTTTGTTGAATATTTCAAATGCATATTATCTGAATTTTAAAATTTATTTGAAAATTAAAAATTACTTGAGTGTGTTATAAAACCAAATTAAAATTCAATTTATTTTTAGAATTCGTTTTGAGCTAGGTTTAGGCCAAAAATTAAATGGTTTTATGGTTGGTGCAGCAATTGATTTGACCATATTTGGACAACGTCAAAATTTTGAGTTCCAATTTGATCTGAAAAATCCAGTTCAAAGTATAATGAATGCTAAAGATGGAGGGTTACACAGATACAAAGATGGTGTTACACAGCTTCGAACTGCTCCTACATTCAACCCCTATGATCGGCCAAATCCATTTTCTGACTTTGATATTTCAGGTAAAGAGCTTTAATTTATTAAAAAAATTTTCTAAATGTTTTATTTTTAAACAAATTTCATTTTATTAATTTCAAAGATTTGTTTTTTAATTTGTTTTACTTTAAAGATTTGTTTGTTACTCATTGTCATTATATGTTTCTCATTGATCATTATCATCAGTATCATTTGTTCATCTACATTTGTTCATCATTTGTGTCTTTTTGGTACCTATTTAAAAAAAAGTTATAATTATTTTTTTAAACTACAATTTTTATGTTCTCTACCAAGTTTGCTACTAAATTCATTTTACCAGTTAATTTAGCTTTTACCATAAATAATTTTTTGATTTTTCGATTATTTTACTTATTTTTTATTAATTTAATGGCTAAATATGAATAATTATTTAGTTGTATTTATTTCTTATTTTGTAAAAAATAATAAAAAAATTTGTTTGAAACAAAATAACTCAGTTTTTCCTTTTTTTTTTCTTATTTTAATTTTTTCTTATTTTTCTTATTTAATAATTTTTAACAAATGAAGCAGTTTTTCAACCATGCCACTTTTGTCTTCAAACACTTGTTTACATTAAATTTAAAGGCACATTTGGCATTGAATCATTGCGTACTCGAAGTGAAAGTCGACTTGGTGCATGCATAGCAGCACCAACTACTGATATTAACGAAGAAATGGTTCTTATAGCTTGTAATGACACAGATGAAAGACAAAGGTGGACTCACACTCTACACGGCATGCTTATTGTAAGTATATAATTTCTATAGAAATGCAAACATAGTAAATGCAAACATAGTATGAACAGAGTGTTCTATATAACATTTAGTCATATAATAAACAAATAAAATAATATAAATTTAAAAATAAAATAACATAAATTTAAAAATAAAATAATATAAATTTAAAAAAACAAACATAGTTACTTATTAACTATATATTTTGGATGTTTAATTATAAAGTTTGGGTGTTGGGAATACAATCCCAGGTATCAACTACCAAGGTATTCCAATTAATCACTAAAATCCAGAGTAACTCAATACCCGGGTATTTGCAGCATACATCTGGGTACTCAATTCCAAGTATTTCTTATTTTATAATAACAGTAGTTAATTAACTAAAAAGTAAAAATATTTTATATCAAGCCACATTTTGCAAATTTTTAAATTTAGTTTCTAATGTTTTTTATATTATATACCTTTTTATATAGAGAATGAGAAGTACATCTAAGACTTAGGATTATTTTAAGATTACTGGTCAGACAACAGCTAAGCACCTTAAATATGGTAGTTCTCTACAAACGAAAAAAGTAAATACTAAAGGAATGATAAATCAATTCTGCCTTCATGATATCTAAACTGAAAAATGCACAACATCAGAAGTTTCCAACTCTATCGAGCCAAAATTTTTGTTCCAAACAAAAAAATAACCAAAACATAGTAATGAAAGTATTTGAAAGTTTATGAAAAGAGAATCAAGAAATGAATTACTTTTACAAATAACCAAAACATTTTTTTTACAAATAACCAAAACATAGTATTGAAAGTAGCTAGATGTGTCACTAAGGATGGGTTTTCATTTAGATGTATTGTGCATACTGAAGCTATTTGAGGTTATATTTTATCTAAGAATTTTGACATGCCAAATAGCAAAGTTTCAAACAGAGGCAATTCTACAAATAAAATGAGGATGGGTGCATCCGCAAAATAAACCAACTAGCTTTAAAAAAAAAAAAAAGTCCTTAAAACAAAAATTTAACTGACTAAATTGCTGAATTGCATCAAATAGCAGACTATTCAACTAAATTCGTAAAAAAATTTTATTGAGAGCATGAATTTATAAGAACAAATATTGTAATTAACCTTTATTGTATAAACAGTATGATAAAAGTCTTTTCTGCAAAAACATTTTGTTTAAAATGGTATAACAGTATGATAAAAGTCTTTTCTGCATTATAAGGTATAAACAGTATGATAAAAGTCTTTTCTGCAAAAACATTTTGTTTAAAATGTTATAAGCTTTGATTGATATGATAAATTATTTCATATTATGTGACCCTATCTATATGACTTGAGAGGAACTAGGTGCAAAAATACCTGTTGAAGTTGGAGTAATAGCATAGAAGAAAGGTGCATCTTTTGGTGAAGACACTCTTCGTAGCATGTTAACATTTAAGGCACCACTAAAAAAAAGAGCTGAAGACATATTTGAAGGAAACAGGAAGAGAACAAATAATTTGGAACATTTATACAAAGTACTTTTTAATATTAAGCTTACATCAGTGAATTGTGAAAGGGTTATTTTCATTAATTTTTTCTACAAATTTATTTTATTTATTTTATTATTTAAAATTATTCTACAAAAAAAAAAATTTCTACAGAATTTTTTCTACAAAAATACATTCCAGATTGACTGCAGAAACTCTCTGGTTAAGTTTTTTTAAAGTATTATTTACTAAATAATTACATATTAAAACAAAATGTTCCTATACTAAAAACTGAACTAATATTAACTATTCATAATACACAAAAATATATTTATTGTCTTGTATTTTTTTATTGTTTGATTTTTTTAACATTTACCCGGGCAATCTAGGTAAATGAAAGTTGAAGCGTTGAGTACCAAGGTAGTAAAATTCACCAGTAGTTGTATTCCCTATATGGGTGCAATATGGCTATTAATTATAAAGTATTTTTTTGTACCTGTTGTTTAGAATGTTTTATTTTTTTAGATAAAAGTTTGGATTTAAAAATTTATTATAAATATATTACAAATCACCTATATTTGAATAATAATCTGCAAATCATCTATATTTGAATAATAAGCAAAATGATAAATTAATATTACTTGACAAAAAAAAAAAAAAATGAATAGAGGCTTAAAAAGACTTACACTATGAATACAATTTTCATATATTAAATAAAATTAAATTTTTTTTTTCTTTGTACCTAAGATGTATCAAATGTTTTCACAGTATAAACCTATTTTTTTAATGCATTCACAAATTAAAAAAGTTTTTTGTATTCCATTTTGTAAACATTTAAAAAATGTTTAAGTTAAAACATATTTTAACTTAGACAATCCTTTTTTTTTTTTTCTCATGTTGACAATAATATGTTGTAAAAAAACTAACAAAATGGTAGGTTAATTATTTTTTTAAATCTTGCAATTTAAGTGCGAAATCAACAACAAGTATTTCATTACCTAGTTCATTGTTATATTGATTCAGACAAGGGGAATGCATTTTCATACAGGTTATGTTATAGAACAGCTGTAGTGCAGTGGTTAGCATGTAGGCATGCAGTAGGCATGCTCTCCTCAAAAGCTAGAGATCAAAGCCACCTCTGGGCAAGTTTTATAACACTGGTAAGGAAGGAGATGTAAATTTCCTTTCAAATGCTCTTCTACTATGCTCTGTGATAAGAATAAGGACTTCTTGGGGTACCTATAATGTAAAAAATTTAAAAATCAAAATTTTAAAAGCTGTATTTTTTTTAAAATTTTATCAGGGTAAAAGTTGCTGTTAGTGGCCCAGATAAAAGTATATTTAATTACAGTTAAAAATTACTAAGCGCATTGATTTGATACACATTTGACAAAAATGTTTTTAGAATCTCTACTCTAAGAAGTGTTTAGCTTTACCAGATATGGTTGATGGTAAACTATTTCAATCAGATTGTGATTCCCAGAAACATAAACATCTTATGAATATCGAATGTGATCTTAAAACTAAAACATTGAAGTTAAGAAAAAAGGACTTATGTGTTACAACAGGTAATATTCAGTTTATGTAATTTTGTTTTGCTTTTTTCTTTATGTAAATTTTCTTATTGTAAATTGATTTGATTAGAAAAATTTGAAACTAAAGTACCTTATGTAAAATATACAATATTTTTCGACCTGTAGTTTTAAGAAAATACTTTTTTAAAATAATAATTTTAAATAAAACTTAAAAATTATTTTTTTTTATTTTCCAAATTTTAGTTATTACAAGTGAAATAGGTCCTGGCTCAATTCAGCATCACGGATCATTAAAATGCATTCATATTTCACCAGGAAATAAATTAGTCTTACGAAACGGATGTCAACAAACAACGTGAGGCTTTTGCACACTTTAATGTCAAGAATTTTTTTGTTTTATAATTCTTTAAATTTCTTTTTTCATTTTAGTTACATATTTAAAAATTTTAAAGATGTTATTAACTATGTAATTTAAAAATGTTTGAATATCTAATTATTATTTACAAAATTAAAAAAAAAAAAAAAAATGTTTTCATTCAAAAAGTCTGATAAATCATAATGCATTAGTATATATAAATAATATATAAATATAAATAATATATTAATATAAATAATGGTACATGATTAAAAATAGTATAAGTTAAAAAGTGTTATTTAGTACTGAGTTTGAGATAAACCAAAATGGTCATTTGTATTTCCGTTTTAATGGATGGTGTGTTCGGGTTTCAAATGGTAAAGCTATAAGTGGAGCAAGCTTAGAACTTATTCAACCATCGCTTGGTTGTGATTCTTTTTCATTTACCAAACAAGGTTCATTGCAACATATGTCTTCAAGGTTATGTGTCCAAACACTACAAATGGTAAGTAAAACATAAAAAACTATTTATAAGTTGGAGTATAAATTTAGACTTTAGAGTATAAATTTATATATATATATATATATATATATATATATATATATATATATATATTATATATATATATATATATATATATATATATATGTTAGTGTTGTACAAATTGCACATTTGTGGCCAAAAATATTTAAAAAAAATAAATACAATTTTAGAGGAATGCTTTTTCAATTTTTAAAAGAAAATAGTATTAAGATAAGTAGTTTACTTAGAATTTTAAACTCTTTATAAAAATAAAATAAAAAAAACATTTATTGCATGAAATATATACAAAATAAAATAAGAGGCCTCAAAATAAAATACCAAGAAAAATATAACTTTAAAGTTCTAAAGAAAGCACTAATAGCAGTTTTAAAAGTTTAGTACTTAAAGTTGTGTATATGAATATTGTAATGTAAAAACAAAAGCATTTCTCCTATTTCCACAACTGAAAAATTATTTACTTTCAACAGAAGATAGAAGGCATGATAAATATTTCTGAGCTATTGGATCTAATTGCTTGAAGTTATTTCTGTTTGCTCTTCACCATTCTATAGGACTATCTTTTTGCATGGTTATCAGATCAAAGACATTAAAACTTCAATTTTAGATGTTTGCCTTCTGTTTCTTGCAGAACTTCAGATATTGATGCGATTCAGATGTTTTGAATTAAAGTGTTTTTAATTTTAATTTAAAGCATTTAGAAAATTGAAAATCGAAGATTTATTATACTTGATATAAACTGACCTCAGGTTGAAATTCTATACGATCTTTTTTCTTAGGACTTTTTGAGCTATCTACAATTATATTTTCAAGATAAACTATGAGCTTCTTCATTTCGAAAAAAATTGTTTTTATACCTTGGATCTAAAAATGTGGCTAAAACAAGATTTTTGTCTTTAAGATATTTTTAAATATCTAAAAGGCATATATAGATATTATATATATATATATATATATATATATATATATATATATATATATATATATATATATATATATATATATATATATATATATATATATATATATATATATATACATATATATATATATATAAACATAGATATATATATGTGCATATATATATATATATATATAAATATATATATATATATAAACATATATATATATATATATATATATATATATATATATATATATATATATATATATATATATATATATATATATATATATATGTATATATATATATATATATATATATATATAGTTTAGATAAGTTAACTATATAAAAATATAAGTTTATGTATTTTTAGGAGATGATACCGCGTGATTTTACTGAACTAGTACTTGGAAAACAGTGTGAATATGTTAGCTCATTAAAAGATTCTGCTTCACTTCCTGACTTACAGATGACATTCACGTTTGTACCACGTTAGTTATTAATATTTATAAATGATTTTTTTTTGTTGGTTGTTACTCTTTTACAATTACAAAAGTTATATATTCTGTGTATTGTGTAATCATATGCAGTAAGTATGCAGTTCAAGTTTGGTTCAAGTTGGGGAAAGAGTTATATCAGTATGATAAAGTAGTAATAATATGGGAAGTTAGGGTTATTATAAATTATTCGAAGTGAATATATTATTATACTAAATATATTTTTTTATAAAATGACTTTATTTTAGGCATAATTTTTAGAAAATTAAAAAAAGTATTAGAAAATATTAATTTAATTTAATATTTTTATTAAATACTTATTCTTCCCAAACAATGAGTCAAAATTTTACCTAAATTTATATACATTATGACATCATCGTATATTTTAGATTTTAATTAATGTAATTGCATTTTATTTTTTTAGAAAATAACAAACTTTTTATGATGGAATGTGGAGAGTTGTGGAACATGAAGTTTGAGCAGCGCTTTGGCATCATGCATGATGAAATCAATACTGTGTGTTCAAAGCATTGGCCTGGTAATTTTTTATTCCTTTTGTATATGATTTTTTTTTAAAAGGATTTTATAAAAAAAATTTCAGCATTTATCATATAAAGTATCGGTAATAATTTACATAAAGGCAGTACAATTATTACAATTGACATAACGTTTAGTTGTACCTGTTGTAATCTAGTATTGTTTTGAATACTGCCAAAATAATTATCAGATCATAAAGCAAAAATTTTGACTATATATGGGCAATTCTGCAAGATTAGCGGTTGTAACATTTGACGTAATTTAAGCTATTAAAAATTAACCAAAAATGGAAATGACTTGAAACTTCTTAGAGATGTGGAATACTATTACATAATTTAGTATGCAAAAGTTACCATATTGAAGTCTTATACTTTTTTCAAAAATTAACTGTGACGGTCGTAATGTTTACTTGTCAAACTAATTGCAGCGAACAGCATGGTAAAAAAAATCATTTGTTGTGTGTATTTAGCACTTATCAATGTTATTATATGCTGAGTATCATAGCTTTTACTTGATGCTTTATAAGCATTTCTATGTTTTTTTTTGTCCTGATGGTCGTAACCGTGATGGTCATAACGAAAAATCTAATTTTGAAAAAAAATAAATAAAACAACGCAATCAAAAAAAAAAGATGAATAGTCATAAAAACCATGTCAACTATGTAAAATTATAAACTCAACAACATTATCAAAGTTCTTAATTATGGTTTTTTGATACTGGGTACATTAAATTTAAAATTAGTAACTAAAGGCAGGCTGCTATATTTACTTATACTTTAATACTTTACTAAAGTTTAAATGGTTAATGCTCTCTTTTCCCAACATAAGTTTATGAAATAATTCTTTCAAAGTAAAAATATCGATTTCAAAATTGTTTTCAAGCTTTGGTTGCTTTCACTTGATTTTTTAGTTTGTTTTCATTTCTTTTGTGTTCTTTGATAACTGTCTTCTTTAATAACTTCCTTTTCTTTTTTTTTTCCAACAACGCTTTTTCGTTTCTTGTTCTATAAGCTTTTGATCTTTTAGCATCTGATTTAAGCATTTACAAAATGTTATTAAATATAACTTTTGAGGTTAACGTTCTGTTATAATTTTAAAAAACCGCGAAATTTATAATTAAATAAAACGAGTTAAAAATAGAATAAACAAAAACGTTCCAATGCAAACTATAAAAAACGTTTTAACAAAAAAAAAAAAATGTTAAAAGTTTTTATTTCTCAACAAATATCAATTTATTTACACCAGTTATTTTAAATAAGTGGTTTATATTTTAAAAAAGAAATAATTTCTAATTTTAAATTATTTTAAATTACTTTAACAAGCTTAGCAATATTATGAGTAAACAAACTGCATTGATTTTTAACTTGGTTTCAATAATAAAATTGTTCGCGCTTAAACTTTTTATATAGATGTCAAGAAGCCGTTATGGAAAAACAAACATAGCGTGATGGTCATAACGTACTTTGTTACATCTTAATACTATCATCTGAAGGTCTTTTTTTAAAAAAAATTAAAACAATAATAAAACTTATATCAGTATCTTTACTTTTACTATATTTTTAGCTTTATAAAGTCTGATACGAAGCCTAAAAAAAACTTCTTGACTTTTTTTCGTGACGGTCGTAACGCATTAATTTGATAAACACATTTTTTTTTATATATAGTTGGAGTGCGTTTTTATAAATAATATTCTACATAATGTTTAATATTGTCTTTAAGTTAAACTTAAAAGTAATAATTGCATAAAAACGCAGCACATTAACCTTTTTCAATGCTTCATAACAGGACAATATAAAATTGTTTATATAAACTCATAAAAAACGTTAAAAAATTGTTTATATAACTCTTACAACTTTAAAACAATGCTATGGTATGATAAAATGATTATTTTAATCATTTTTTGGCTTAAAAGTATTCTTAATTAATTAAAAAAAGAATTTATTGAGGTTAGCATATGTTTTCCTAACTTTTTTTTTTCCTCTTTCTTGCGTAATTGCCCATATATTTACATAAAAATATATAAATATATTTTTGTGCTTCTGAAGTTTATATATAAGTACACCCACTGGTTTGCACCAAATGTTATGACAATTAGAAAAAGTTTATGCAAACAGTTTGTGCAAACAATTTCATTTAAAAAGCCATGTTCCTGTACAAAAACCTTGCCTTTCTCAAAAAAAATATGACAGTATGGCTTTTTTTCAGAAATACAAGCACTCAACAAAAAATCGGGAGGCTTTAATATTTAGCAATGAATTATTAATTAAAAAGTTTAGTTGTCTTTCTACAAGTGTTATACACCTGTCTTACCAACAATACAAACCCCTAAATTATTTTTGTCAGTTAAACGCAGTACTACCAGGGGCAAAGTGGGGATTAAACTCATAACTTCTCACTTAGGAGATGAGCGCCCTACAATTACTACCACTACAATTACTACCACTACAATTTATTAGTGAAATGTGTTTGACTAAATTGTACTTCAGAGTGTCTATATAACTAAAAAAAAAGTTTAAATTGTTATCTAAAACAAAATCTTTAAAATGCATTTCATTTCCATTACCAAAAAAAATAAAGTTATTAATTAAAATTATTGTTTTTAATCTAACCGACTGTTGTGACCCCTCTGGAGGCTTAGGAAGGTGAACTTATATTAGTTTACTAACTTATATTATTTCTTTGAAATTTAATTTTTTTTTAATTTAAACTCATAAGTAAAGTTGATATTAAGTTTTTTCTAACTAGAAAAGTATTTTTTTTTTTTTCTAAATATTAAATTTTTAAATGGTTGAAAGACAAAAAAATAAAAGCTGTCATTATGAAAATTAAAATAATGATGCAATTTTTAGATCTCGCTTTGAATAAAATTGCTGTTCAGTCCAGTACCAATCGTAATGGTTTTGCAGATAGAGCTGTTGATGGAGACTTCAACTTCCAGTGGGAAAAAGGATCCTGTACACTTACTAATGAGGAAGTTGACCCATGGTGGAGAGTTGACCTCGGAAATGAGTATATTGTAACAGGTGATTTTATTTTATGTTGTTTCATTTGTTAATTTTATTTTAAAGAGTTAACATTATGACAATTTATAAAAACCCAATCTGTGATATCAATTAAGTAATTAGCACCATGAATAACTTTTAAACAGCAAAACACACTATTCTTTTGTTTTTAGAAATTTTATTTTTCAGAAATTTTTTTAAATTTATTTTCTCAAAAAAATTTTTTTTTTTTGGTTTTAACATTTTTTTTCTATTATGTTGTTATTAGATTTCAAAGAAAAATTATTCTTTACAAATAAAGTGATAATAATATCAGACCTATATTGTAATTACTTACTATATGAATAATATCTAAAACCTAACTTCTGAGATAAAATACAAAATTAACTAAACAAAGAATAACTGAGATTTATGCCAGACAGATGAAAAAAACAAAATAAATTATTATAATTGTTTTCAAGAGAGTTGTTTTTGTGAAAAAGATGCAAGAAATTAATACAGTTATAAATAACAGCTACTCAAGATGGTGAAACCATGGGATAGAGTGAGGCTTGACTTAATAGGCAATTTCCACAATGATGTTTAACATTAAAGTGAATAAATAATAAAAGAAGGAAAAAATAAAAGAAAAAAGAAAAACTTCCATGCTTGCCTGGATGCAGGAGATTACATAAGACACACAAATAACAGCAGTATGACTAAAGCCCAAAGCTTGTCATGAAAAAAATCACAAAAAGAATCCCAGTCAGTCAGGGTTTAAGGTAGGATTAAGAAATGCTATGATAAGAAAAATCTGAAGAAATTTTAGTGAAATTATTTTAGTTTTAAAAATTTTAGTGAAATTTTTAGTGAATCATATCATGATCTCACTAAAAATTATTTGTAGAAAAGTATTTGCTACATAGGGTCGTAAAAATAACTTTAGCCAATTTAATGATGTTATTGTTAGAATTACATTTAGACCAGAAAAAAATTTTTTACAACAAAACTTACTACAGTAAATCTTTTTTAATTTTGATGTTATCTTTATTATTATTTCATTACTTATTTATTATATCTTTACAATATTTATTTTAAAGTTGAATTGGGCATTTTGTAATTCAATGGAGAAAATTTTTTTTTTAATTTTTTCTGCTCCCTGGCTATTTTTCTATTTTTATTGTTTATATAAACATATTGTTAAATTTTCAAGCCTGAATTAATGTTTAAGGTTGCTACCGTTCGCTAGAATTAATAGAATTTATGTTTTTTTATGGCTTTTTACCATATAAAAGCCTATGCTTAATGTAATTTTTTATACCATACATTTTAAGTTAGTAAACACTAAACAAACATATATATTAACAGAATTAATGGTAAGTTGTATATATATATTATATTGTTAGTGAATTGTATAGTAATTAACAGGATTGTATGTGGCAAAAACATGTTATAACATAAATTGACATCTCAACTCAATCCCCTTGTGCTACACTCCATTGACAAGTTGACTGTTGTTAAGTGTGGGTGTTTAATTGCATTGTTCAGGTTTTTGATGTATCTTTTTATTGCAACATTAAATAAAGGTAATGGTTTTTACTAAAATATATTATACCTAGCTTTTATAGATTTTTATTTAAACTATAGTTGGCAGCCTTTTGTTAGCAAATACTTTTACGTTGTTGATTCCAAAAATGGGTTTAATGTTATTTTTGTTTCCTTTAGATGGGTTTAATTTTATCTTAATAAAAGAAAAACTTTGAAATATAATCAAACAACCGATACTGAAAATAAGGTTCAGCTACTATTGCCAAAAAACCCATTCTTGAATCCAAACATTTGCAAAACCGCTGATAAGCTGACCTTGTCTTTGGGACAAAGAACAGCATTTTTTGGAGCTATTGCGAAGGAAGGAGGTTCTTCCTGTAGTAATGTTACACTATCAAAGACAAGTTTGTATAATGCCAGTAAATATAATTGCCAAGACATTGCAAAAAACATCAAATCTGACTTTAACAAGCCGGACTTTCTAACAGTTCATTGGGATGGAAAAATTATTGAAGGGGATGGGGAATGATTGGCAGTTTTAGTTGCAGGTGTACCAAATTATGTAGAAGGAAAGTTGCTGGGCATTCCAAAAATCATGAATGGGACAGGATTAGTCCAAGCAGAGACAAGCTTTGATCTCATTAAAGACTGGGAGTTGAACAAATCTACCATCGGTATGGTATTTGATACCACAGCTTCCAACTCAGGATGGAAAAATGGAGCTTCTGTCATTCTAGAAAAAAAAGTTGAATTCTAAGCTGTTTTATTTACTATTTCGCCACCATATCTTTGAGTTTATTTTGTCGTCCATATGGAAACACTTGTTTGGCCCAACGACAGGCCCGACCAATATAGAATTTCAAAAATTAAAAAACTCTTGGGACACAATCCCTCAAAAGAATGACAATTTTAAATTGCTGGACATAAATGAACGTTCGTTGAAATCCAAAAAAGAAGATATGATTAATTTTCTTAAACTGTCCCTCCAAGAACATACATTTATAAGAGATGATTATAAGGAATGCATTTATGTCATGTTGTTACTCCTTGGTGAGAAAAATGTGAAAAAGGGAAAACAATGGCTTAAGCCAGGAGCTTTCTATCATGCTAGATTGATGGCAAACATTTTATATGCAGCTAAAATGTATGCATTCAGTGAGTATTTAGGTTATGATAAAAATATGATTCAGAAACTGCATCGCTTTTGCCTATTTACATGCTTATTTTATGTAAAAGTTTGGTTGACATCTTCAAACGCCATGGATATTCCTATCAACGACCAACAGTTTTGGAAGAACATGCAAATATTTAAAAAGATTGACCCAGGAGTAGCAGAAAGCAGCTTTGATAGCTCAAACAAAACACCTATGGTACTTAAGTGAAGAAATTGCACCCTTTGCCCACTTTTCAGGATCTGTGTATACCCATGAAAAAAAGAAAATTGCTTCAACAATTATGAAAAAAATAAACAATGAAAATATGGAAACTGGAGTGCCAGTAATGCTACAAATGAATCAAAACGTGAAAGTGATCTCTCTAATTGGAAAAAATTTCAGGTGTCTTTTTGATCTTTTGAAAGTAAATACTAAGTGGCTATACCCCGATGAATGGTCAAAAGGTTATGAAATTTAACTACATATCTGGGATATTAAAGGACCTAAAAGTTGTCAACAATTTAGTAGAAAGATCAGTTAAACTAGTTACTGACTTAATTCAAAGTCTAACACGGGATGAAAATCAAAAGCAGTGCCTTTTCCAAGTAGTGGAACAGCATAGAAGGAACATACCAAAGTTTGATAAAGCATCAATGTTGATGAAAAAGTAGAACTCTTTTTAATAAATATGTATGTAAATGCATGAATATAACTCTGTTAGACTTATTAGAACATCAGTTACCAACATTTTCTTTTATAATGGAAATACATATTTATACAGTTTTTATTTTATTATAATTTTTCTTTTGTAAATTTTATCTCCTTTTTCCAAGTCTAAATATGTTTTAGTGAATTTGAATCTAGGATAGAAACATTTTAATTTCATATCTGTAACATTTTGTTTTGTTACTCATTTCATAAACTATTAATTACTTGAATCTCAAACATTTATTTTATATTTTGCATAAAGGTCTAAATGAATTAATTATATCATTGTGTTCTAGTAGCATTTTTTATGTTTAGATTTTTAGTTTTTTTCAATTAAAAGTGTTAATTAATGTTTTGCATTATTATCCCAAATTCATGAATAAGATTAAACTTAAATAATTCATGATAACTTTAAAAGGCTGGTAATGTCAAATCAGCAGGTATTGACCTGAAATTTGAATAATGGTTATTTTTTATCAAGTCAAATGAGAAAATGACCAGGGAGCTCGTATTTTCAACAAAAAAAAAAATTGAACACTCTATTATATACTTTTTGTTATTTAGATGTTACTATTGTTAATCGTGGAGATCGTGGCGATTACTTGACAAATTTTCAAGTGCATGTTGGTTCTAATCTTGTTGTTCGTCAAAACCCTGTATGCCATGATATTGTTCGCTATGCTGGTGATGCAGAGGCTATAAGGTTGCAGTGCAATCCACCTATTCCAGGAAAATATGTTGGATTACAGATGTTTGGCACGGGAGTGCTTTCTGTTTGTGAAGTTATTGTTGCTTCAAGGCTAGGTAAATATATATATATATATATATATATATATATATATATATATATATATATATATATATATATATATATATATATATATATATATATCTGTGTGTGTGTGTGTGTGTTAAATAATTTGTTTACTATTTTCTTTCACTTTAAAAAGAAGAAACAAATGGAAACATGTTGTTAATTTTGAAAAACTTTTTTATATATTTATTTTTGTTAGGAAGTTTGTCTGATTATTGTCAAATTGAAAATGGTGGTTGTGACCAGATTTGTCATAATGAATGCGGAAGCAGAAAAACAACATGTTCCTGCAGACCTGGTTTTAAGTTAGCTTATGATGGAAAATCCTGCTTCGGTTGGTCTTTTCTACACAATATAATCTTTATAAATCTTTTAATTTTTTTTTTAATCATTAAGCTGTTAATTATTATTAAACTTATTTTAGATATTGACGAGTGTTTAATAAATAATGGTGGCTGTCGCACTGACCAACATGCATATTGCAAAAATACACCAGGAAGTTTTCATTGCTTATGTTTTAAAGGCTTCATTCATAAAGATAACAGTCTCACTGAATGTGCAGGTAGATATGAACTAATACACTAGCACTAAACATATAGCTGATTATCAAGCTTTCATAATAACTCAAAGAAATATTAAATTTAAAACTATTTTATCTAATCTCATCTTAATTTTTATAAGTTATTAATTTTTTTTTTATTAGAATAATCTACTTATATATTTACTTTTTTGAGATTATTTCCAAAATTATATACAAAAATGAAAACATTTCATTTTTTTTTTTTTTTTACTTGCGATGATTATAGTTTATATATATAACAACAATTATGTATATAACAACAATTATGTAGACAAATCTTCAGGGTCCTGAAAATGATTTTTCACAAAATAAACTATAATTAGTAATATGAACTGATTAAGTTTTATTAAAATGTTAAGTTTTTAACTAAAATCTAAAAACTCCAAAATAGACCAAGACATAAACATATTTGTAGAGAGAAAAAAACAATTTCATGCTTAGACTCTGATCTAAAACATTATATTAAAAAAATATAAGATAATAAAACATAAGTAATAAAAAAATATAATTTTTTATATATATCTAAAAAACATATATATATAAACAAGATCTTATATATAATAATATATAATATATATGTCAAAATGTCAAAATGTTTTCAAAAATTAAGTTTTTGAAAAAAATAAAACTGTTTAGTCCTGAAATTAATGAAGTGCGACACCAGGCGACACCAAGTGCTTCTATCCTGAGGATACTCTGTGTATTTTTAATATTTTTACTGTTTAGTTTTACTATTTGTGTTTAACTAATGGCTTTACGCTTTTCTATTGAGAAATTTCTTGAAAGTATATGTTGACAATATATTTACAATTTTTGACAGTAAAGCATTCCAATCATTTATGTTATGTTTTGTTGAAATACATGAATTGTTGAGCACAGCTTGACTCATTCTGTTTTTTCAGACGAAGATTGTGGCTGCATAGATCATAGTGTGAAGTAGATAGTGTGGTTACTTGTTGAGTGAGAAAGTCAACTTTGTTGAAACTATAAATATTTTTATGCTGTTGCTTCCATGCTTCCTTCTGATTTTCATAATGGTTAGTTCAAGAATGTCAAGTCTTCTTTTACAAGAAAGATTTTTGAGCTAAGCAATTACTACTAAGCCACACTCTCTTTAGCTACTCTTTGCTTGATTTGTTCAAGTGTTGCATTTGAGATGGGATGTCCACGTTTGGACAGCATATTTTAGATGTGGTCTTATGTAAGCAGTGTATAGTACTTTCCAAAGTAGCATTCTTCTGTTTCTGAATTATTTTTAGAGCTTTCCAAGCACCATATTCACCTATGATGTTGCCAATTCAACTTTTTGCTTGTCTTTGAAATTATCTAACACAAACATGCTGAGGCTACATTCAGTGGTAGTGACTTGTAGTTGATGATATGTATTGTCATCTTTTCCTGTTGTGTATTAAGCGTGGCTTTGTTTTCTTTTCTGCCTATGTCCATCATTTTACATTCTTCTGTGTTGAACAGCAGGAGTCATTTTTTTTCTACCTTTTTTTTTTTGACTTTGTTGAAGTTTTACATGGAAACAGTATCTTCAATCGATTTGATAACACCCATAACTTTAAAATTATTGATGTATGTTTTAATGTGGTTAGTAATATTAACAGTATGATTGTTAATAATTAGGACAAATAATGGTTTGTCAAAAACTGCACCTTATGGTACATGAGTTGTGATGATTTTCCAATCAAATTCATTATAATCAATTGCTGCTGGCTGTTATCTGTTGGTGAACCATGCTTTGATCCAATTGATTAATGACCCACTAATGCTGTACACTTTGAGTTTATAGAGGAGTTGGCAATTATATATTATATAATTATTATACTATTATGTTTTTATTTTGAATCAAAGTTCAAATGAAATATTTATAAAATTTAGAAACAATTTGCTACATTTTAAAACAATTTTTAAACTTTTTGTATAAAAGCTCTTATATTATCAATTCAGTTTTTTTATAATAAATTTTTTATTTATTTTATTTTTCATTATTAAATATACTCTGATACTTTTCATTGAAGTTATGTTGACATTTTAAAAAAACATTTTTTAATTTATAGATATAAATGAATGTGGATCAGGAAATGGTGGATGTGAACAGATGTGCAACAATACCCTAGGCGGTTATTTATGCACTTGTCGAAAAGGCTATGAACGTAAAAAGAAAGACATGTATGGTTGCCAAAGTAATAGAACTCTCATATTTTATTTAAAAGTTTACAATAAAAAAATTCAGTCATCACATTAACTTTTTTGACAGTCATTTTATTGTTACTTTTTATATCATTCATTTTATTGTATATTATAAATTATATGGTGACTTTTTTTTGACAGTTGTTAGATTGACATTCTACATATTAATATTTGAATAACAAGTTTCAATAAACAATTCAAATTGTTATATTTACTTGAGAAGTTATGTGTTCCTGCATATTATATTTTAGATATCAATGAGTGCTTGATAAATAATGGTGGTTGTGAACATAATTGCAATGACTTTGATGGTGGTCACTATTGTTACTGTCGACCAGGATTTAAGCTTATGGAAGATGGAGTTTCTTGTGAAGGTATACTTTTATTTCGAAGTTTTACTAAACTTTTAGTTTAATTTTTCTGTACATATTTATATAAAAATATAAATAGTTCTGAAAAAAAAAGAATATATATAAAGAATATATAAAAGTAGAATAATAATTAGTAGAAATGTATTTTAATATAAAAAAAATTGTGTTTATAGCTTTCAAATGAAAGCCTTGATAAGAAAGACTGGTTTTATTATATTCTAATAAGTTTTAGATATCATAATTCTATTTGATATTACTTTTTTTTTAGCCCTTAGTAAGTTGTAAATTTATTTTTTTATTTACAGAAGTTACATGCAGTACTTTAGAAGTACCTCAATGGGGAGTTGTTTCACCTTCAATATGCACAAAAAGATTTGAAAACCTTAATGTTGGAATTGTGTGCTCATTTCAATGTGCTAAAGGTTATGAAATAAAACATAATTTTAATGCAACATCATTGTTATGTGGAACTGACGGAACTTGGAACAGCTCAATGCCTTCATGTTATCGTGAGTTAATAGTTGTTTTATATACTTTTTTTTTCTTTTCAAATTTTAGCAAGTTCATTAAAACGGAAACTATAAATAAATCAACACCATAGATTGTCTTCCAAATCTATATAAATATATCAACACCATAGATTGTCTTATAATTGAAAAATAAAACTGGAAACTAATTTTAATCCTGCAAGGATACAACAAATTCTTTAATTGCAAATATTTAAATTAGAATCTAGAAATCAGTAGATCATCTAAAACAATAATCCATTGTTTGTAATTTTTTGTATGAAAACTGTTTAGCAATGGTTAATTTAAGTTTTTCTTTAATTGTTCTATGGAGAAAGTAATGAGTAAGGCAATCATTGATTTAGAAGTCAATCTATGGTGTTGATTTATTTATAGTTTCCATTTTAATGAACTTGCTAAAATTTTTATTTAAAGTTGTAACAAATGCATTTTACCCTTTTTGGTGTTCTTTTAGTTGTTTTTGTTTTTGCATTCTTTTAGTTGTAATAATGATTAGTCTTATGACTAATTTATTATAAGTATTTTATATATAACAATTTTTATTTTTAATATAGTTTCTTTTCTTTTTGATTTTTAAAAAACATTTAAAATGTTTCAACTTTCAGTAGCCAACTGAAAATAACTGATAAATTCTTTATCCCTTGTGTTTCTGTTGTTTTTTTTTTATGAAAGATTGCTAAAAAACAATTTCTTGACCTTTTCTTTTTTTATGAAATAGTTGCCAAGAAAATAATTCCTTGACCATCTTTTCTTGTGTATTTCAACCTTGATCTGACCTGATCTAGGGAAAAATATTATTATTATTGGATCAATGTACCAAACATATCTGAAAAAGAAGAAGGAAACAGCTTGAGCACCTTAGGGATCTATCCCTTAAATTATTTAGTTTGTCAGCAAGTTTCCATATATTTTAAATCAAAAATGTTTGTATAATAACTTTTAATTAATTACATTTTCCAATTTTGTTTATTAAAAAAAGTTAAATATAATTTTCACTTGTGCAGCCATAGAACTTAACTCTTATCTAAGAAACAGTTAAGAAAATATTAATGTCATTTTTGTTATTTTCTGATACATGTGTATTGCAGTATAGCATTATAAATATAAATGAATTTTAAAAAATGCAAAACTCAGCGTAGTTAAGGAGAGATCCGAATGATTTTCATTTCTTAAATACAAAATTTTTTTTTATAAATCTTTTTTTTTACCAAAGCATCAAGCAAAATAAAACTACCACTAAAATACATAAAATGCGACAGGGCAGCGTCATAAAAATAGCTGAAATAAATGTGTTAAGTATTTACATTCCAAAAATGTCTCTTTTATTTGAAAGTAAAAAGACTTCTTGTTAACAGCATTAAAATATTCAGTAAATGACTAAAAACCTCTTATTTTATCTTTCCGTAAACAGTAAAAAAATTAAAATCAAAATTTTCACAATAGTTTTTTCTCATAGCAATTTACTCCCTTTATCTCTGTATAGTCGTTTAAATAAATTACTAAATAAAAATGTTTCAGCTTTTATATAACTTTTACCCCATAGTATTAAGCTAAAACTTCAAACTCGTAGGTAATAAAATCACAGAGTCTTTGTAAACAAAATAAAACAACAAGCTTCGTATATTTTTGATTATAGACTAATCAAATAAAGTCGATTTAGTTAAGTAAAAATCTTATAATCTTAAAGTCCTTTCATTTTCACTTTTCAATCTATTTAACTTTTTAACTTTAATTTTTGTTTGTTCATTTCACAACAATAACATATACTATTATATCTATTACCTAGTTTTTAGTTGATTTGAAACAGACAAATTTAGAGATTTATTTTTTACTTTTACCAGAGAAAGAAATGATATTATTACCAGTGCTATATGTTGCTGAAATGTCATACTTTCTCCTATAACAACAATGTTAGTTTTTCTCGGTATGCATTCATTATTTATTTTTAATCAAAAAAACTTGGTTCAAACTTTTTTTTTTAATATTATCTTTAATATGAACACAGCATGTGTCGGGAGTTTGGGATCCCTTTAAAGGAAAGAAAAAAGAAATTATTAAAGTTTTTTAAACTTTTTCTGGTCTGGTTTATTAGCACTCTCTTTAAAACAGTTTATGGAAGAAACTTTTCAACTACCATGCAAGACATTTAATAAAATATTTATGTTAAATGTATTTTATGTTAAATGAGCTATTACAACACTATTTTGCACATAAGTTATGTCAAAAAAAAAGATTTCAGATGGCAGCGTATTTGAATATATAAAATTTTTAATGGATATTTTTTGAAAAAAAAACAGAAAGTTCAGGATCTGGAACCAAGTCAAAGTCACTATCTTATCTTCTTTTGCTCATCACACCTGATTTTCATCATTATCATCACACCTTATCTTCATTATTGTTATCACAATTATTTTCATCATTGTTATCACATCTTATCTTAATCATTGTTATTACACCTTATCTACATCATTATTATCACATCTTCATCATTGTCATCACACCGTATCTACATCATTGTTATCACACATTATTTTATTCATTGTTATTACACCTTATTTTCATCATTGCCATCATCGTATTTTTATCATTCTTATCACACCTTATCTTCATAGTTGTTATCATACCTTATTTTCATCACATGTGTGTGATAAACGCAACACGTTCATCACATGTGTGTGATGAACGCAACGCTTTCAAAACATGTGTGTGATGAATCTTTGTCATACTTAATAAAAATGAAACATTTATTATAACAAATTTTTTACTTGGCAAATCTATTCTGATAGGGTACAAAACAGATATTTCTTTCTCTATATCTCGTCGCACCTTATCTTGATAATTGTCTTCACACCTTATTTTTATCATTGTCATCACATTTTTTTTTCATCTCGTTCATGTATGTTATACATTTCAAATATTAAAACATAAATTAAAGATTTAAGCTTTGAAGAACCTCTGAGAGGTGAATTTAACAAATTTAAAAAAAAAATTTTTGAAAGATGAATTTAATAATAAAGAATAATTAAGCAATTACATTAAATGTTACTTCCATCATATAAAGTATATTAAAACTAATTTCTAGAAAACACTCATGAAAGATATCTTTAAAACATTTATTTGCATTCTAGATATCTAAGTGCACATATATCAGGCAATAACTTGAAAATAAAATTTTTTCCTCATTGTTTGATGAGTAGTTCAATGTTCGATGAAATATATATTTAAGCAGAAAACTACTTTTGAAAATTCATAATACCATATTTTTTTTAATATTATTTGTTTAAATATGACACGAAAAAAGAAATCATTTCTTTACATTTTTAAAATGTAATATTTGTTCGTTCTGATCAACTTAAAGTTAAAGAAGCACTTCTGACCTAATGCTTTTCTACTACAAGCACACTTTAATTTGGCATTTAACAAAATTTCATTTCGTGAGCTTTCGTGATCTTTCTCAGCTTTTATAAAGATTTAATCTGATTTAGTTAATTTTACTTTTACGCAATTTTTGACATGATAATTTATGTAAACTTTATGATATTTTTGTTTTCTTCTTTGTTCTAATTCTTTCTTTTTTTATAGCTGAGAAGTGCCCTTCATTAGTTCGGCCAGAAAATGGTGGTCTTATACCAAGTCGCTGTCATAGTTCAGGTAATGGGTATAATGAATTTGGTCAAAGATGTGTTGCTTATTGTGATCATGGCTATCAATTGCAAGGACCTGCCACAAAATACTGTCTTTCAGGATCTGTATGGTCAAGTGAAGATGTGGTTAAATGTATTAAAGGTATTTTAAAAAGTTAAAATAGTTTTATGATAATATTGCATAAATCATGAAAGTGCATATGACTTTGTTTTAAACTTTTTTTTTTCATAAAAAAATGGATATATGTTTATAATAATTACAAAAAAATCATTGAAATAATTTATCTTACTTGTGTGTTATCTTACAATGTGTGTTATCTTATGATGTGTGTTATCTTACGATGTGTGTTTATTTCTGATGTGTTCAAATATTATTTATTAATTTCATTAAAAACCATTTTAAAATTTGTAAAAAAATTATTTTGCAATTTATTCAAAAATAAAATTTTTTAAATTTTTTTCTAGTGATTGAGATTCCCTACTTAAACTGTCCAAATGATTTCAGTCTAACATTGCCTCCAGACAAAAATACTGTTTCACTTGGTTCTGATTGGGTTGAGCCCAATACAAACATAAATTTTACCAAAATAAGTGTACAACCAGTTGGTATTGGAAGGTCTTATCAATTTAGAGCTGGCCAAACAGTTGTTTCTTATAATGCAATTCATGACAGTGGGTCATTGTTTTCATGTTCCTATGTAGTGCATGTTAAAGGTGGATGATTATTTTCAACATAAAATGTTTATCTTTTTATTTTGATTTTTTATTTTATTTATATATATATTTTTTTATTTATTTATTATTTTTTTATTATTATTATTTTTATTTTTTTTTGATTTTTTTTCTTACACTTTTGTTCTACTTAATTTTAATTCTAAAATTTTTTTAATTCTAAAATTTTAAATTTTTTAGTTTTTTTAATATTAAATTTCTAAAATTCAATTCTCTTTAAATTTCCAATTTTTAAATAGATATTTCACCACCTGTCTTATTGTCTTGCCCAAGTGACATTGTTATAGTGTCATCATCTTCTCGGGAATCAATAAGTTGGACACCTCCAACTTTCACTGATAATGTTGGAGTAACTAATTTAATACTACCTAGATGGAAACCTGGAAATGTGTGGGAGAGTGGAGAATACAGAAAGTTACAATATGATGCTTATGATGCAGCAGGGAATAAACAAACATGTTCTTTTACTATAACACTTAAAAGTATGAAGTTCATCTTCAGTTCATTAATTTATTTCATTGTTAATTAAATTTTATACTTTGCATTGTTATACTTTTGACCTTCAATCTAGGTCTTGATTGTCCTACCTTGTATGGTGATAATAACACTGTTGTCACCACTTTTGTTCCACAAAAAAGATACTCAATTGTATGTCTTCATCAGAAAACTTTGTTTGGTAACTTTGGTTACGATGGGTCAGTTATTTATTGTAAAGATGGGGATTATTGGATTGATTCTGTAAAAATTGGTTTATCTATTCCTGAATGTGTTTGTAAGTTTTTTGTTGCTATGGTTCTTGACTTATTATTTTAATATTTTTCTTTAATAGTTTTTTTTTTTTTTTAGTTTTTTTTTTTTATCTGTTAAAGATTTTTATTAAAAGTTTTGTTTACTTTTTTATTTATTACTGTTATTTTTTTTTACAATTTTTTTGAGAACAACTTTGTTATTTTTGTAAAATAGTTTGAGTTGTGGTTTTTTTTCGCTTTCCTTTTTTCTATTTTATTTCATTGATTTAGTTACTATTTTTAATTTTGTATACATTTTTGGATTCTCATATGGAGAGTTCACACATGTATTTATATATACCTAACTTAATACCCAGCTGTTTTTGCATGCAATACAAGTGTCGGTTTATGATAAGTTGACATTTTAAATTGAAAGGCTTGTGAATAAGGTTTGGAGAGCAACTTCAAACCTTTATTCACAAACTTACTTTTTAATTGCATGAATTTTTTGGTTGACATCCAAGTTTCACAAATTCTTCAGTCAGATATTATTTGCCTACAAGTTTGAAAAACTAGAGTTTTTGCTACTAAGAGCTACAGAGGTATATTAAAGATTACCTGCTTACTTGTTGCTGAGTATGCTGCTTGATTTGTGAACCTACCTATTTTTTCTAAAGGTATTTATAATTGAACAAGGGTAATAAATAATATGCAAAAAAATTTCAAAGTATTATTATTTTAGTTTAAATTATACACAAAGAAAAATAAATAATAAAAATAACAACAAAAAAAATGTACATACAAATAATATACAAAGTAAGCAAAAAAATTTAACAAAAAAATATAAAGTGAAATAAGTGAGATTTAAAAACAATCATTCACATTTAAAAACAATTGTTCACATTTGAAAATATCCATTCACATTTGAAAATATTCATTCACATTTGAAAATATTCATTTACATTTGAAAATAATCATTCATCAGAAATATTTATTATAACTGATCAGAAAAGATTCAGTTCAACTTGATTATCTACTACAAGGTCTAAATTGGTTTTTAGAATTGGTTTAACCCATACATTAAATTATGCACAAATTTGATAATAACAGAACTATAACTATTCCCACTACCATAAATGATAACAAAACTTTAAGTCCATTTGATATTCTTAGAGGGGATATCAAAACTCATAATTTATCATCTGACAAAGATGCTTCTAAAGTTTTAACCATTGCAATTTGATTTGTTGATGGAATTGCACTTCAAAGTGTAAAGAGTGAAGCAAGGCTATCTGCTAGATAAGGCATGACAAATGGACAAAAGCTACAGCACATATTGTAAATATTAAAACAAATATTATAAATCTCAAACAATTTTAAAACTTTAACAAAAAAATAATTTATACCTTTAATCATGTCACTGTTGAATATGGCTTGAGGTTGGGAAGCACTTGGTTAGTTAAAAAAAATTTCTTTAAATTCATAAAACTCTTTTTCATTATTGCATACTTAAATTCAAAATGATGAAGAACAAAGAAGGTACTAAAATAACTCATTACATTATACAGCCACAAAAAATTAATGTTTTTTTAAGAAAAATTGAATATAACAAGCAAGTTATTAACATAATATTTTGTTTAATAATTAATTTTATTTATTATAATATTATGATAGTATGTTAGTTTTCTTTTGAACAGGCAGCCACTCTATAGAATAGTAAGTCGTATTATAAAGCTATTTATTGTTATTGTTAATTTATTATCATAATAACAAATATTTAAAACATTTAAAATTTTAAATTTAAAAATTAACATTTTTTAAGCTTATACCGAATCTTCGCTAAACCAAATCTGTGACACAGGATCAGAAAAGTTTTTGTATGAAGATTTCTTTGGCGAAACTATTTACTATTGTGGTATTGCCAAGTTTTATTTTTCAAAACTTCAAATTTTGTTTTTGCAATTTTTTATGAAAAAAAAATTTTTTCATTCAAATCTGTTTTTATTATTTTAGCTGTTTGTCCAAAGGGCTCTGCATACAACAGTACTAGTAAAAAATGTGAATTATGTCCTGTGGGTTCATATCAAGATCAATATGGAAAAGTAGAATGTGAGAGTTGCCCTCGAGGTTCTACTACTAAACAGATTGGAGCTCGTTTTGAAAAAGAATGTCTTTGTAAGTTCAGAATAATTTTTTTATATTTAGTTTTTTTAATCTTTTTTTTTTAATTTTGCTGTAATGATGACATTTTTTCTAAATAACTTTCAAGACCTCACGTACTGCTATTTCTTTTGTTGTTATTTCCTTGCAATAGTATTTTACACTCCTTCAGTTTGAATTTACCTCATTACAATTTTTATACTTTTTCGTGTAATTTTTTCTAATTATTACCTCTAAATGTCAGTTATTGCTTTTCTAATTATTGCTTCTTAAAGTTAGTCATTACCGTTTGTTTAAAAGGTGAAACCACAAAGAAATTTAAAAAATGATTGATAAGTGTATAATTTATTTAAAATTTTAAAACATAGATATTTTTATTTAGCACAATGTAAACCAGGTTATTATTCTTCAAGTGGTATTGATGAAGACAATGAGTCATGTGTAGCTTGTTCAGTTGGCAGTTTTTCTGATATATATGGAGCAACCAGTTGTCAAGTTTGTCCTGATGGTGGGGTTACTTTAATGAGTGGTGCAAATGATAAAAATCTGTGTACAAGTATGTTTACTTTCAAATATCTTTTTTTATTTTTCTTGTTTTTTGTTGTTTTTTTTACTTTATTTAATTAGTTTATTTAATTTATATATATATCATCATATCATTATTAAGTATATACTTTTATGTATTTTTGATAATTTTTCATATAATAAAGTAAAATGTTTACCTATGTTTTTGATCTTACATTCATAAACATACAGGTAGTTTACAAACAATTGTTACGTATAGTTGTAAAATGTTTAAAAGCAATTCTTGCATGCAGTTGTGATATTGCTAGATAAAATTATAAAATGTTTAAATCTAGTAGTTCTTTTTTTATATTTTATTAAGAAGATTTTTTTATTATATTAATAAATTATTTTAATAAATCTCTGTCATTGATTTTTATAGTTTTTTTTGTTAAACTTGGAAATTCTATATTAATGATAATTGGTAAATTAAATTAAGCTTTATTTAAATTGGTATATAAATTTAGCTGTTTTTGTTAGATAATATGAAATACTAATAAGTATAAATGATATAAGTTATATTTTTGAATAATGTAAAAATTTTATGTTTTTATAGAACCCATCAAAATCACTCAAGTTCTCCCAGGTTTAAAGGTTGCTTCATCAGTAGGTAGTTCAATTACCTTAAAATGTTATTATGAAGGTTACCCGCTTCCTGCAGTGTTTTGGTCTAAATCTTCTGGTAAGTTTTTACATTTACCTCTACTCTTTATTATCTCTACTAGATGATGATTGGTGATTAGGGTGATCATTATTATGTTGATCATAATGAAAGGCATCACTCACACTTCATATTCAAATATTTTCTGCTTACTTACATTTTCTTATTTATACATTTATCTTAATTTTTTGATATTTTATATTCTTTGAATACTATATTACCTTTATTATTTCCCCCAAATCTTTCTGTTATAAAACACAAATTGTTTTCATAAAATGGCATTTCGAAGAGACTGAGCACTAAACTTCAACTTCAAACTTAATCCATCACTCTCTATGTTGTTTCTGTTGGTTGGTGTAAAGACATCTTTTACATTAGTGTAAATGTCTGATATACAAAATAAATTTAACTAACTATTCTGTAAAAATTCTTTAGGCGTTTTTATTTAGGTTCATTTTTTTATGGACATATTCCAGAACTTTCAGCTTATTTTGATTTTGTTTTACAGTTAAAATTTTTTTGCTTTTAACAGATTCTGTCAAATGCTTTTTCTTGGACAAAATCCATTTTGAAAATTTTTGTCAAAAAGTTGATTTAAATTAATAAATTACTTATATTTTCTACCTTATCATAAAAATTGCATCCAAAAATCTTGTTTGACAAACCACACTGTGTTTTGATAAAATTTTTTATTTATTTGAAAAAAATCTAATAAAAAAGAACTTTGTTTCGTCCCTTTGTATCAAATTATTTTCAGCAATTGGGACACTGGGACATCAAATCATTTTTAATGATTGGGTTGTGTTACTTTATCATGAGTTAATTATTATATTGTTTAAGATTTAGAAACTTCTCTTATCTTTACCACACCAAGGTGGAGTTTAATATAAAAGTTTTCTTTATACTATCTTATATTCTTTTATTTTTTGATAAAAATATACATTAATTACATTATAATAAAATGTTGCAAAATTGTTAAAGCATATTATATGTGTTCTTTAAAGCATATTGCATGTGTTCTTTAAAGAAATGATTCTATTTTTTTTAAATTTAGTAGTAAAAAAAGAAATGATTAAAGATCAAATATGAAATTATTTTTTACATAAGTCTCCATCAATCATATTACTTCATTCTTCATCATACATAAATCTCCATCACCTCTCACCATTTATCATTCCACCATCCACCCTTTTCATTCCACCATCCACTATTTTTCATTCCACCATCCACCATTTATTATTCCACTATCCACTATTTGTCATTCCACCATCCACCATTTATCATTCTACCATCCACATTGATATACCACTATTGTAGCCGATAGCTTAAACATGGAATTATAGTTTATGAATTTTGATGGAGAATATATTCTTGTTCCCAAAAAATATAAAAATTGAACTTTTCCATAACAAATATTCCTGACAACTGATTTATTTTACTTCATGGTTATTGCCATCTTATGAAATTTACATCAAAAGAATTGATTAACAAGAAGGTTTTGCATAATAAAATATTTTTTTGGGGATCTGTTCAGTGATGTTTGATTTATTGATAGGTTTCTAATTAAATTTGTTTTTTTGAGTTTTCTTTTTTTGATTAATACTATTTCATTTAATTATGTACAATTCATCAGATATGAGGCATTCCACCAATGTTCTCTTGATTCAAAAGTACTGCTTGTAGTTATTTTCTTAGGGTCCGGATTTCCTGTATTTCAGCTGAACTTGTGGATTGCACTCGTATATTGTTCATATCATTGATTGCAGGTCTCAATTTGATTTCCATTACTACTTGTGCTGATAATAACTCCCAATATCAGAGTCTCTGCCATTTATAATTTCTCACTAGTGATATTACTTCTTTTGAGCATAAAAATTTCAAGTTTCAATACCTGTTATTGAACTGCTTTGACTGAAATTCCCCACTGCCCCCACTGTCTCTAATCAATTTTTATTATACGTGGAATAGCTGCTTTATTTGCATTTTTGTATCATGTTGTATTGTAAACTTTTTCAATTATTTCCATTTGACAGTCTTGAAAACACTTGGATCTAAAAGCTTGATAACACTGCTTATATGGGCATGTAAACAAAATAGCTCCACAAATCTATAACAGTTTTTAATATTTAAGAGTTGTTTTCATTAAGAATAAAAAGCTTTGATTCTTTTTATTAAAATTATCTTAGATTGATAGATTGGTTGGGCTCTATCTAAAGAAAATAGTTGTAATGTGCATTGTTTGGACAGCAATTACATCAGGCACTGTTAAGGTGTTGTTATAAACGATCTATGGTGATAAAAATTGACCAATTACTAAAAAGGCATACATGCATAAAACTTATAATATAAAAGTATGTACAAAATATAAAAAATAGAAATAATATATATTTAAATAGTTTTTTATCACCATATATTGTTTATAAAGGCATCGTCAAAAATAATTGTCCATATTTATAATTGCCTAACAGCATACATGCCTCGTGAACATGATTTTTGTTAAAGTACCAACTGCTTTATTTGGATTTTTTAATCCACGTTTGCATAGAATTTTCAGCTTGCATGTTTTAGTTTAAAATCTTGTTTCATCCACATTGAATATGTTTAGTATCTTGTTCTTTCGATAAATTTTCTCAATAGCAACTGTTTCTCAAAAAAAGTCATCAACCACGTTAAAATTGCATACATGCGAGTAATTAGCAGAAAAAGGTTGTCCATCTGATCACAATCAAAATTTCTTGTCAAAATTGTTGGACATTTAATTTGTTTATGATGCATTTCTTGGAGATAATTTATTTATGTTAAATGTTGCTTTACTTATGCTGGTTTATCACAGATTCGCTGATGTTTTTATGAATTTGCTAGACATGTGATCAATTATCTACTCTTTTACAATTTCATGTTCTAAAATTATACTCTAAAAACAAAATGAAAAATGAATCATTTTGAAAATCAATGTTTATTTACTGTTTATTTACTTAATAAACTGTTAATATAGTTTGTTAAATTAACCCCAGATGATCTTACATATTTATAAAAAAATATTCTTTTTTTAACAAAATGATAAAACATTGTATTGCTATAGGATTCTGGTCCGTATAATTGTATTTGTTTTTATATACATAGTTTACTTTTTTTTAATTATTGTTAATATTAATATTATTTTTAATATTTTTGTATTTAAATGTTATGTTCTCAATTTAATAAAAATAAGAATTAAGAAAATGTTAATACTTGCATCAAAGGACTAGACCGAGCAGTCATACCCAAGTTAAGCTATGATGGTTAACAAAGGAGCTGTCCTATAAAATAACATTGACATTTGATTACCGCTTTATCCAATCGGACACAAAAATACATTCACCAAAGATGCTTTGTAAAGCCTAATAAAAAGTGAGTTTCGTCACTTCTCATGGGCGCATCAAATAATTTTTATCATCACCTGTCATCAAAGAAATATAACCTATTGATGAGGCACAACTGACTTATTATCCAAATATTAATTCCATACTGTTTTAATTCCATTAAAAGAACTACTTAACTAGAATCTTTTGGTTAATAAAAAATTCATAAATTAAATTAATTTTAATTTGCAATATGGTTTAAGTTACAGAAATTATTTAATTTGACCACATAAAAACTAAGAATCTTTTTTTAGAGGGGGAATTATTATGGTAGCATGTCTATTGTATATTAATATTGCATATATATTGTAAATACAAGTCAAACTAGTGTATTGTGTTTTCATTTTGAATATAAACAATCACATAATTATAATAATTATTTAACTTAGTTAAAATGTTAAATATAAATTGACTGAAACAAATAAACATCAAAATATAAAATCTAAAAAAAATCTAAATATAGTCAAGCAGAAAAATTCCAAAACTTGTAAAAAAAAATTTGAAAACTTGCCCCATGCCCCGTGGAGACTCCGCTGTCATCCTAGATAAATCTGGTTTTGTTTACTTCTGTTTCTGACTATTTTAGATTTAGTGACCTATATATAAAATAGCTGTTCCTAATATTATTGTAATTTAATTATTTTAGGAGTTATTACGGAATCCCGAAAAGAGTTTGACATCTATAACCTTAACGTTGAGAAAATTGGTGTCTCCTTAACATTGTACGATATAAAATATTCAGATGCTGGAAAATACAAATGTACAGCAAAAAATGAAATAGGAAGTTCAGAAGTTATTGTTGATGTATTTATCACACCGTCAAAGATATAAACATTTTTTTAAGTTTTTTTAGCAAGAATATTACATAATTACTAAAACAAGTTTGTGGAGTTTTTTTTATTAGTGTATATATATATATATATATATATATATATATATATATATATATATATATATATATATATATATATATATATATATATATATATATATATATATATATATATATATATATATATATATATATACATATATATATATATATATATATATATATATATATATATATATATATATATATATATATATATATATATATATATATATATATATATATATATATATATATATATATATATATAGGGTTCGTACTGTTCGTACTGTACCTGGAAAATTAGTTAATTTTAACTAAAGTCATGGCAAACCTGGAATAGTCAGGGAATTTTTTTTTTTCCTTTAGATAGTCCTGGAAAAGTCAGAGAATTGTGATTGAGAAGTTACTCGTTTTACAATTAAGCTATTATGTTTTTGTTGGTGCTACCCATTTATTTTATCTGAAAATTATGTTTTTCTTAGTGTTCATTCTTAGTCATTCTTAATGATAAGATCCATACTAACATGTATAATAAGAGCCATCCAAATATCCAACTTAACTAATAGCTAAGTTTTATAGGTTTTGTCATTAAAAGCATGTATAATTTTAGTATTTCCATTACCGTAGTAGTAGTTTTAAACATTTTATAAAAACCATTGCTGAAAATAGTAAGGGGAACTCATCTGATTTTTAAAAAAGTCAGGTGCTTTTTATATAAATATTTTGCTACGAACCCTGTGTATATATATATATATATATATATATAAATATATATATATTGTATATTGCAAATAGAAGAATGAATTTTATAAAAATCATACAAGCGCATTAGTTTTTTTCTTTTTAAAAGTCATTAAATATCAAGGGTAAACACCCAGTGGTAGATGTTCCATTCAATCGTAGACGTTTTGTCACTGAAAATATTTTCAGTGACAAAAATATCATCCAAAGTTAGCTTAGCTAACTTTGGAAGATATTTATAATGTTTTCCAGTAATTGTCAAAAAATAAAAATTAACGTTACTTAATCATATAATAGGGGTTCTGAGCCACAATTTATTATTTTATGTGATTTTTGCCAGTTATTTATGTTTGAAATTAACACTTCTACAAGTTATTGAATTTTGTTCCAGTCTTCGACAACTCATAATTCTACATTCTAAAAAAGTGTCTGTTAAAATCGTAACAGAGTTTGTCCGTGACTCATTGGGCAACAGAATAGTACATAAATCTAAGTTAGCATTTTGTCATTTAAAAAAATAATTCTGTTAGATCAGTCTATTAAAACTAGATTACGGAATGCGGTAGGTTAAAAAAAAAAAAAAAGTGGACTAAAGAATAATGGAGAAGGGTATGAAAAAAAAAGTTGTTAAATTTACAGCTATTTTATTTATTGTATTAGTATAATCATATTATTTTTACAAAATGAAGATATTAAGCACTTTATAACACGGACGTAAAAAACATCTTTTAAACGTCTTATACACGTTTTGGACATCTTTTGAACGTCAAAAAAACGTTCAAAAGATGTCTTTTTTAGGTCCGGTGCCCACTGGGAATTGTTCATTAATTTATTTAACAACAGCCTTGATAACTTTTTGTTTATTGATTGCAGATTTTATTTTCGGATGAAACACATTTCAAAGTACAAGTGATCAAATTTTGTGATCAAAAGTGATCAAAAGCCAGTGATCAAATTTTGTTCGTTGTTCTGATGGTGAGTCTATAAGACTACATATCATCTACCCGGACACATTGAAAAATATGTCGAGTATCCAGAAAAGATGTTTTGGGGTTATTTCTCTGCTGTTGGATCAGGAGCACTCTACCCAGGCATCTCTACTGGCATGATGATCTCTGACACTTACATTGAGGCTCTGCAACACATTTAATTCTAGCGATGTCAAAAGTGTTTCCAAATTGAAACAGAACATGGTTGCAGGATTTAGCCACATGCCATACATCCAAAAAAGTCAAGAAAATCATAGTAGAAATAATATTAAATCACTTAAATGGCCTGGTAACTCTTCAGATCTTAATCCAATTGAGAATCTCTGGGCAGTTTTAAAAAAAATGACTGCAAAAATATGACTGCACAATTAAAACTAATGTTACCACCACAATTCTTCAGACTTGATTTGAATATCCAGAAATCCAAAACATTTGTAAAAATTTAGTAGATTCAATGCCAAATTGTGCGCAGAAAGTAATAGCACTTCTAGAAGACTCACAAAGTATCAGTGTATAAGTTTTTATTATATTGAAGATATTATATTTAGAAATTTCTAATATATATATTCCTATATATATATATATATATATATATATATATATATATATATATATATATATATATATATATATATATATATATACATATATATATATATATATATATATATATATATATATATATATATATATATATATATATATATATATATATATATATATATATATATACATATATATATATACATACATAAACATCATCAGTAGAAATTGTACTATCACGTAATTTGAAAGACTATCATTCAGTAACCAAATATTCAGTAATATTTGAAAATGAGAAAATAACTTTTTTTAACACTAACTACAAATTAATTCTTACAAATTAATTATTATTTTATATTATTTTACTGAATTATTGTAAAGATTTAATGTAAAAAGATATTCTTAAATTTTTTTTTTTTTTTTTGACTCATCTTTTACTAATCACATAAATTTATTAAGTTGATTTCAAAAATGTGATTTTATAATCTCATATTTTTGGAATTTTTAAAGATTGTAGCATTACAAATTACACATCCTATATAAAGTAGTCTTTGTTTAAGTTATCAAAATTTACATTATTATTTTGAAAAGCTTGTATTTTTAATTGCTTTTTTTGAATGTAATTACTTCTGAATGTAATCACTTGTGCATATTGGATTTATTCTATTGTACTTGTTAACAGTTAAACAAAGTTTAACCTTCCCACCAATAATTCAATAAGATAGGTTGTTGAACAAGATGGAACAGAGGTTGAATATTTATTTAAAATGATGGAAGCAATTGGAAGTACCATGAAATCACAATAATATCATATTAAATATCAGGGACGGATCCAGAATATTTTAGTGTTTAAGATCTCCTTAAAATTAAAATCCGCCTCAAATTGCGAGGGATTTAAATTTGATACAGTAATAATTTTTGAATGCTAAGAAATTATACTATAAAGTTTAACAATTTAACAATGAATATAACATTATTTAAAAATAGTAAATAGACATATGAATGTCTGGAGTTTGTTAATTAAACTGACGTTAAAAAAACTTTAGTAAATCAGGCACACATTTGAAATTAAAATTAATGGATATAAAAATGGAATTTAAATCACGCACACGAATGGAATTAAAATGAATGGTTATAAAAATGGAATTAAAATTGCGCACACATTTGAAAGCAGAAAATTCAAATTATGTTTGATCGTATTTTTGCAGGCAAGCAATAATATTTTGAGTTTTCGTTTTTAATAAAATTCAGAAAGAGAGCGTTTCAAAAGGAAAACACTGCAAAGAGAATAAAAAGTTACTCAACCAAACAACTACTATACCAAAGACGATGTACAAATTACTTAGTTATAATTATAAGCTTAAACTTTATTAACTTTTATTTATTTTTTTTGACGATCCCGAAATCCCGGGAAATTTCGGAGACTAATCCCGGGATTTCGGGATGAACAATTTGTTCAAAATCCCGGGATTTCGGGATCCCGGGATTGCCATCCATGTGCGCAGCGATGCAAAATCATTAAATTAAGAACGTATAATTTAAGTTTGGAATTTTAAATGGAGGGTTTAAATAAATAAATAAAACATTTTAAAAATATTATCTTTTATATTATTTATTTTTATGAATCTTATGACATGATGAAAACATTAGAGTTTTAGTTACATTTACATTTAAACAAGAATATATAACTAAATAAATGCATAATAGATAATAACTAAGTTAAATAGACTTGCTCATGCTTTAAATAGCCAATAGAAAACAAAGATTATTATCAAATAAAAGTGCAAATAAGGTAGTAGCTAGTTAGCGGTCAGTATAACTAAGTTAGTAGTAATTTATATTATGGCATAAATGCAATATTTTTAATTTCTCTAAATGAGTTCAAATGTGTTCCAGATAACTCACGATATAAATTGAACAAAGGAAAGTTATACGAGTTACTTTATGATGCCTATGTTAAGGCATATTTGCAGATTAGGAAACAAAATTGTCAAAAAGAAGTTAATGATATTTGGAATAAGGTGAAATCTGAAGATAATTTTTCTGCAAAAGTAGACTTCCTGTTAAGAGAATATGATGCTCTGTTCAAAAAGAAAAAAGGTACACTGATGAGTTTCTGGGCAAATCAATCATTACGACATGACGATGCGAAAACTATACCTCGTAAATTATCGGCCCCGGATGTTCTAGCAAAATTACCAGATACTGTTGTAGGGGGTAATAAATATAAAGCTTCTTTTGAATACTCTATGATATCTTCATCAAAGTCTAGTGCTGAAAATGTAGAAAAATATAAAACAAAAGTATTATTGTTTTATATTTTTTATTGACCAGTTTCCAACAGTTGCCGAGTTTGTTGATCCAGAGACATCTAAGCTAAATGCAGAAGAATTGATAATCAAATTTTTAAAATGGCTTTTTGAACACGTCAATACTTTACTCAAATTGTCAAATCACAAGATGTAAAATATTGCTTTAAAATTAGAAGCTTATATTTCAATAATGTTCCTTCATGATTCTTATTTCATCCAATTCCAGTTATTTAAACAAATAATGGTCTTCAAGCTGACAAAAGAGGAGACAGTGAGTCTTAAAAGTTTTCATCACTTTTTGTTTCACATAGTTTTAAAATAGATGATATAATGGGAAGATCAGCGGAAAGTTTACAAGTTCATCCTTATGATCTTTTTTGTCCATCAGTATAGACTTGTCTATTTAATCAAATATGCAAGTT